GATAAAAATCCCTATTTTGTTCGTTAACAAAGTAGAGCACAAGGATTGTTTAAATAAATGTAGACGACATGAAACTATTCTTGGAAATATGAATAGTATCTAATAGTGTCGTGATTAAATGTGGAATCGGTAATTTTAACACCTGGTGTAAGATAAATATTTTAGAATTTATTGTGAGTAAAAAATCAATTTCATTGCATTTAGGGTTAAATACCCCATTTCCGGCCTATTAAGAACAACCCACACTTTATCTTTCTTAATCTAGCGCAACTTAGCACCAAACGGAATGTTATTATTACTGATGGCTTCCAAATTTATTTACCATTCCGTATGTACAGTAATATTTGATAAAGAGAAACCAATCGTTGAGATATTGTCAAAAGTATAAAACTGCTTCTTGACGCCAAACTCGGCCTACGGATTCTAAACTCGGCCTAACGCATTGAAACGCCATTGAAACGCCAATGAATTCACTTCGGCCTATCGGATGAAGATAAAAATTGATTCGGTCGGAGCGCTTCTTTTGTTTTTGGGAATAATTGAAGCAAACCTTCATATCACGCGATATCATTGATTTCGTTCCGTAGCTTATTAACTAAAGTATCGTACCAAACGCATAATTGACTTGTTAACTCTGAAATCATGGATTTATTTGAAGTTTTCTGCTCGATAGGCCCAAAATGGGCGATTAGGCCGAAGTAGTTCTCTACCCTACTAGAACGCACGTGTTAGTGCAAAAAGCAATAACTAATGTCGTTTTCGTTTTTGCGGTGTAGCTACACCGGTGCTACACTGCCGTACACCGAAATATTTTAGGGTGTAGATATAGGATGCACCTTTGTTTACAAACAAATGATGTTGAGCTGTCAAAGACTCGCGCTTATTCCTGCTTACACTACACCGGTGCTACACCGCAAAAACGAAAACGACATAAGATACACCGGGGCAAGTGGAACCGCGGGGTTAGTGAGATTGGCCATTTGAAAATCTGAATACTTAACTGTGGTTGCGATAAAACGAGAAACTCCATAGAGCCAATGGTGTCATCAGCAGTATTACGCCATTGGTTATTGAAGGTTTCCGTTTTATCGCACGCAGATCGCACCCATGTGTGCACATGCACTTAACCATTCAGATTTAAAAAATGTAGTAATGTTGTGGATCATTATAATTTTCGTTTTTTGATCATTATAATAGCATTACCAACTTTAAGAACTAATTTGCGATACAGTTGAATTGCTACTATGCTACCTGAGCTATAACGTATATATGTTGTGTCCGCGAGTCTCGGAGGCCTCCAAAATTAGATAAGTCCATGTTCCCCGGATACAACATATCTAGATAGAGCAGGAATTAGGGCGTAACAGCTTTTGTAAACAATGACTTCTATCGATGATTTCTAGGAATTCAAGACACGTCCACGCAGACCAACCTAATCATCGGATAAGGGAAGTCTTTCCCTACCCGATAAGGATGTTGGTTTGCGTGGGCGAGCCTTGAATTTCTAGAAATCATCAAGAGAAGACATTGTTTATAAAAGCTGTTAGGCCCTAATTCCAGCTCTATTTAGATATATTCGTTATGTGTGTTTTACCTAACTATAGGGTTTGAGAGAATTCTCTCACTGTTTAGAAGATTACATAAATATTAACTTGGTGTATAAGCGGTTTAGATTATGTGTATCGGTGCATCAGTTCATAGTATTGGGGGTTGTCTAGTATCCCTTTAATTGGAAGCAAAACGCGCAGAAATCGCCATCATTCGACGATTTCTGCAACAGTTTCGGCGCGTTTTGTTTCCGAAGAAACAGAAAATATTCCAACGACCACATGAATCTGATCATGTCGTGATTCCTTTCGCGATTCGGTTGAAATTTTTTTATGCAAAATTATAAGAGAATCTTACAATTCTTTTCATTGGGTTAACGCATATTGCAGAACAATAGATTAAGAATGAAGAACACTCTAACGCGTAGTTGAACTACTGAAGTAAAGTATTAGAACACCTCTTATACAGTTCCAAAGAAAATAATCATTGTAGATAAAATTGTGGCTGCCTAAACTTTGATAACATTACAGTACAAGCACAGCAGTGTTTATTTCTGAAAGCCAATCGTGGATTTGGGCTCGGGTCCTCTGGCGGGGGCCACTCCTTCAATCAACCCCCCCCCCCCCCCCACATCAACACACTGCATAAGGCCAACAGTACTACATGTGGAGTTCTCTGGAAAGTGTCCTAGTCTCTTTTTTTCATAAAAACAAATACTACTGCTTTATCACGCATTCGAAAATCTGCTACTTATTCTAGATATGGGGTATGGAATATGGCAAGTAAAACTAAACTCAAAGCAATCCAGACGATTCAAAACAGATGTTTTAAAGTTATCTAGAAGTTGAGGAAGTGAATCTATTACATCTCAAAATCAAACGCATTATTTTATTCTGCAAGCGCTGTAATCTCGATATTTGTATTGCATTGGCCAGAAATAAAATGGAAGGGCAAAAGTCTAGATGAGGAGAGGTGATTGATTTGTATAGCTGTATTTTACTGGCAATCGTTTTTCAGTCGACATAGAATTCCATACTTCTTGGCAATTTTCTTGATGACATTGTCAATGTGAGAGTTGAACTTAAGTTTCTCATCAATAATCACGCCAAGATATTTAAACTCTCGAACGCGATCAATAGTCTCATCATCAATTACAGCAGATTACTCGATTCCGCGAAATTACCATAAATTTAGTTTTACTTGTATTCAATTTCAACTGCTTATACTTCAACCATCTACTTAGAGAACGCAAATCTTCATTCGAGTGTAAAACGGCATCATCTAAATCCTAAGCTGCAATGAATAACATAGTATCATCTGCAAAAAGATTAATGTCGCAAAATCGTAAAACACGTCGCAAGTCATTAATATACATAATAAATAACAGGGGCCTTAATACACTTCCCTGGGCACTCCAAGGTTATTATCCACGGGACTGGAAACATAAAAAATAAAAACAGTCCGTTAAATTCTGTCAGACAAATAGCTTTCAAACCTTTTATATGCAGTACTCGTAATTCCAAAACGCTTGATTGATCTTAACAACAAGGGCCGAGAAATTGTTTCAAATGCGCGTTTAAGATCCAAAAAAAAACAGCAACAATCGTATCTTTACACTCCAGCTGGCCTTTAACAAAAAGTTCTAAAATTTTATCTAATGTGTGCAACATTTTGATGGGACGAAACTCTTCGGCTTTAATCGTCCAGCAACTTTTTGAATAGGGACCACTAAGGATTCCTTCCAAAATTGTGGCACATGTTCAGTTTGCAATGATTCATTAATAAGGTCCAGCAAGATGTGGCCAATGATAGCAATCTTGAATAGCTCTAGCATTAACATTATCTACTCCAGCCGATTTTCCTAATGAAAAGCAAATAAATTTAAGTTCATCTAATGTAATTGGGTTAAAAACTTCAAATCTACAACTATTATTAACTGGCTGTTTTATTTCGTCAGGTTCATCGACCAATTCAATGATTAATCAATGAAATACATGAAATCCCAATTTAATGGTAAACATCACCTTTTTTACGCTTGTGAGTATTCCACTCATAAAATTCGAAAAAAAAATTAGCGGATTGAGTCGCAGCAACATAGACATAGAGCACACAGATAAAAATATTTTAATTTTAATAAAATTTGACGTAAAATCAATAAGAATTTCATTTTGTTTTGGCTGCAAATAGAAATCATTATTGTTTCAACAATCCAGTATTTTTATTTCAAAAATCCAGTATTGTTGTTTTTAATCCATGGATTGTTAAATCAAAAAGAAAATCTTTTCGAATTTACAAGACCTTTCATGGTTTTGACGTAAGGTGTCAAATTTGGCAACTGGGTCAACAAAAAATATGCTTGTTTTTAAAAGAGATTTCTTGTTGATTCAATCATATTTATTTTATGAAGCATGACAATACACGCACGACAAAATATTTTTATTGATTCAATTATAATTTGGCGATTATTTTTATGTTATGTTTTTTTTGGAAAAAAAAACAGAATTGCAATCGAGATTTCAAATCCGACTAAGTAAAACTATATCGCTATATTTTTTTTCTTATCAAGAAAATTTCTATATTTGTTCATAAGTTTTGGTAACAGAAGTAACAATTTATGAAATTTCTGTAAGAAATTAGGGGTTGAAAAACAGAACCGCACCGTAAAAACCATGTACAGCAGCAGGACCAGCAAGCAGTAGAAGAAACTCCAGCGCAGCGCAAGTTCACCAATAGATTTCACTCTGGGACACATATTGTTGGCTAAAAACTTTTTAAATTTAGCAACTGCAGCCTACTTACTTACCTCAAGTCTCAATATTTTCGGAAATCTTGCACTTATTTCTCGAAATTCACAGTTTAAAACAATATTTACGTTGAACGTGGAAAAACAAAGCTGAATTCGCACGAGAACTGTCTCGGTTAAAAACGAGGAAATGGAATTGTTTGTTTAAATACAACTAAAGTTTTTTTTTTTTTAATTCAATGCAAATAATTTTGTGTCCGTGAGTAAGGTGTGGCAAAAGCTCAGACATTTTCCGATCTCGTTAATCTGAGTCAATTGGTAAATGACCCTTGACCCTGAGATCCAGATGCATTATGAACCACACTTTAGATTTAATATGTATTTTACAAGTGATATTCACCCATATTCTCGTTTTCGTTCGGACCGATTGTACATTTTTGGTTGGAAACTATGGTTTAGGCGTAGACGAAAATATGGTTATTTTTTTCTATTCGGCACTCCAGGGTATACCTACGTGTACGAGGAAGTCAAACATGTATAGCTACATATAAACAACCTTACAGCACACTTTAAGGCTGAACTATTTAAAACTCGTAACTTTTCCATCATGCTTATTATGAACATTTGACCTAGTATCTGACCAGATTAAAAAAATACTATCCTCAATCGATTCTTTTCTAATACCGTTTCATTTTATGTTTATTTATAGAGGCTGGACCAGGAGAAAACTCTCTGCCCGTAGTTTTTGATGCCGCAGAGGATCATGCTATCAACAACCTAACGAGAAACGATGCTAACTGTGATAAAACAGGAACGTGCTACGATGGTAAGAATGAGGAAGTGGGCACTGCAAAAAATGCAGTTTTACCCATGTTGGTTTGCTTTCATGGATTTTTATCTACGTTTATTTAAAGACATATTGCTATTCCAGAGATTTATTTCCGTTTTACGTATTAATTCCAAGAACCAGCCATAATACTTCAAATTTGTAAATGCACATTATGTTTTTTTTTTTTCAGTACTCAGCTCACTTTCATACGGTAGAACTTTGACAGCTGCGGTAGAACCACAAAAGAAGTGACAGATGACTAACTGGCGAAGAAATCCATTAAAATATGTAATGTGGTTCACTGTAATAGAATTTTCTTAAAAGCTTGTGCCATCATCCTCCAGATGGGCTAGTATTTTTGTTTTGATTTGAACAAAGTTGATTTTGTGTGTGCAATGATCTTTGACAGTGTGCAAAGAGTGTATCATTTTGTCAATTTTTTTATGCATTTCAGTTTTGAGTAAAGTGAAAGAGATAGAACCAAATTATTCTCGTACATTTAGTGTTGCCATGTGGTACAATCCAGTAGTAGTGATGCTATGTGGTACACTGACAAATTGCAATAGCAGGTTCGTCACCAAAGTTTTCGAGTCGCTCCGTCTGTCACTTCGTTTGGGGTAGAACTGTATGGTAGCTGCTGGATGGATTTTTTTTTCATAAGATCCGCAATAACACCAAAATCTAATCCAAGCCGTTCTTTCCTAGTCAAAATGTACACACCATGCTGGGGGTTTGATTCCCAGTCCGGACGAGGAACTTTATCTCGACTTTTCTGGATGAAGGGCATCATAGTGCTTGTGATGTTATATACAAATAATTGCAATGGGACAGGTTTATATACACACTTGAAAAATTTCATGTATATTTAAAGCTTTTTAGATGTACTCGAAAGAAGCGGCTTAATTGACCTAAATTTATGTCCTTTCTTAAATTTTCTCGAACCACAAACTATAGACATATTTTTATATGTCGTAACGAAAATGTCATTCATTCATTCATTCAGATTTTTATAATTTTTCAAAAACCTGCAATTTTACATCTTTTTATACATAATTTTCCTTAACTAGCCTAAATGTAATGAGTCATCTTATACCTATATTCAGAAAGGCAGCAAAAGTTGTATGTTGTTTTGCACAATGGTCTCATTTGCGTGATTTTGTGAGACCAATATCAAACATAATTTCAATTGACTTCCGGATACCACTGTTTGTTTCATTTTCCTCACGACAGCCACTATTTGAGTACTGGGGAGATGGGAGAATTTTCTTCACAAATCTTAGAATTTTTATTCAGTCATAAGACGCTATTTCACATCTAGATGTGTTTATTATTAAATTTCAACCTTTATTTTTTTAAGTGCGTCTATGTGCAGATAAAATTAAGTCGTTTATCGAATTACATGACAAGAAAATTAGATCTTACGTCAATTCAAGCTCGTGTAATTTTCAGTTTTATATCTATTAAACGTAAAGCAACCAAATTACCTTATGCGTAATAATGAGGCCAACACACGCTAAAACCTGGTCGTAAGACTTGGTTGTTCAACTTGTTCTCCACTGCTCGTTCAACAATTTTGCCAACTTTCCCACACACAATCCAATCTGCTGAACAGCCTTTGCCAACCTATTTACACAAATCTCCCGAAGAGCACGGTGTGGGTGCCATCCATCTTCCTTTATTTCTTGGCTGTTATCCAACAGATTGAGCTGATTTTTTTATGCTATTAGTATCAACTATGGTTGCCTACAAGAAATCAGCACGATTGCCTACAGGACAGCCGATAAAAAGCGGTGGGTGGACGGCACCACCCACTGCAGTCTTCGAGGGATTCCTATATACAAGCGATCACTTAGGTTGAACACGAGACAACTGAGCATCAACTCAACGTGTTTGTACAATTAAATTGTAGTGTGTGCAGACCACATAACGGGGCATTACGCCTACATTCTGGTTCTACAATCAGGTCAGGTTTATTTATTAAGTTGGTCAATCGGTTGAAGTAAAATCAATGAGCTTTGATTTAAGAGGGGTCGAGTTAAAGTCTGTCAGACTGGTTGCAATATGTATGGGAAAGTTGAACAAATATTGAGCAACAGGTTGATGCACAAATCCATCGACCCGACGGATTGAATTTCGTGTGGGTTAGTCACACAATTTTCACACGGTTGGCGAAATGGTTCTACTGAGATTCGGCAAAACGCAGATCAACCAAGTTGCAATGTGTATTGGCCGCATAAGACATTATAATATTGTTGCCGGTAAAAGATCCTCAACAGGACTGGGTATTGATCCCACCGCTTTTAGAATGGTGTGCAGTATTACAGGTCACTTAACGTTTATGGCAATATCTACATCTGGTTGGCAGTTGTACGAAACGGAACAGATTCGTTTGAGAACCTCTGGAGCTTCTTATTGAAAATAATATGTTCTTCTTTATCGTTATAGTATCTGTGCATTGCAAAGACACGCGAATTGCTGTGCAGGTGCGCACCAACAAGCCATTCAATGGTCGTATCTATGCTCTGGGACGATCCGAAACTTGCAATATCGATGTGATCAATTCGGATGCCTTCCGATTAGATCTCACGATGGGAGGACAAGACTGCAACACACAGAGTGCCGTATGGATATACTTATTTATGAGTTCATCGTAATTAAAAAAAATAATAATAAATTGATTAACTCTTCCAGACTGGTATTTACAGTAACACTGTTGTTCTACAACACCACTCAGTCGTTATGACTAAGGCAGATAAAATCTACAAAGTGAAATGTACTTACGATATGAGTTCCAAGAACATCTCCTTCGGAATGCTGCCTATTCGCGACCCTGAAATGATTCACATCAATTCATCGCCAGAAGCACCGCCACCAAGGATTCGTATTCTGGATGCCAGAAGCCGCGAAGTGGAAACTGTTCGTATTGGAGATCGTCTTACGTTCCGTATTGAAATTCCCGAAGACAGTAAGTGCACAAGTAACCTAACAGACATACAAATTTTAACTAAACATCTTATTATTTAACAGCTCCATACGGTATCTTTGCACGATCATGTGTTGCAATGGCCAAGGACTCGAAGAGCACCTTCCAAATCATTGACGATGATGGATGCCCAGTTGATCCGAGTATATTCCCTGCATTCACCCAAGACGGAAATGCCTTGCAGTCGATTTACGAAGCCTTCCGGTTCACTGAAAGCTACGGTGTCATTTTCCAATGTAACGTCAAGTACTGCTTGGGGCCATGCGAACCAGCTGTGTGTGAATGGGGCAGAGATTCAGTAGAGTCCTGGGGCAGAAAACGTCGTTCGGTGACAAGGTTTGATTTGTTTTCTTCTGCACAATTAATATATTATATAACGAATTTCCATTTTTATTTCTCAGAAATGAAACCAACATCGAGGAAGAGGAGGAAGAAATGAATATTTCGCAAGAAATTTTGGTCCTTGACTTCGGAGACGAGAAGAACCGAGACTTCTTACGAAGCGAAGCTAGCACGGAATATGGCAGGGGTAAGTTTGTTCATGCATTTGTTTCACCTACGTGGCTGACCAGTGTTCAGTGACTTTCATCCCTAGTAACGAATATGCTCTGGAACAGGTTTTTCCCAAGACGTTATCTATGTTGTGCACTATGCAAAAAATTCCTATCATTGATTCGCTATGAAAGTTTGACAGAAAAAATGAGGGGTTCGTGGATTTTCCTATGTTTCGAGGGATGCATCGATTAGCTTGGATCCGAAGAGAGTACTAGCAACAATCAATACGAAACTAACGATTTTAAATTGGCTCACTACTTGACTAGCCTATTGGTCCCAAGCAAACGATTAACGTACCCCATTCTAGTCGAAATTCTAGTACTACGCAATGTTTGTTTTGATTCGCTATGAAAGTTTGACAGATAAAGTGAGGGGTTATTGGTTTTTCTTATATTTCGAGGGGTGAATCGATTAGCTTGGGACCGAAGAGAGTACCAGAGCTGAGCCAAAAAGTTGAGCACGTTATTTCGGGACCTTCTAGTCTTAGAGTTACCTCTATTGTACTAGAGCTGAGCCAAAAAGTTGAGCACGTTTCTTCGGGAGCTTCTGGTCTTAGAGTTACCTCTGTGGTATAACCCAGCGCAGTGAATTATTCGCTTGGAAGTTGTTCAGTGGATCTCCTCGGCCGATTTCCTCCTCGACTTCCTGGAAGTTTCTTGGGCCGAGAACATTTCGTCTTCTGCATGTGCTCTACGTTAACACCATTAATGGAATTTGGAATCTGAAAATACTTTGATAGATTATGATAAACTACATAATTTGAATGAGTTGGCTTGACCCGGAAGATTCTTCTGAGCTACCTCCGGTAATTTCTTGATACTTCACTTGGAAGTTTTTTTGTTTTCTCGATAAATTCTTCAATAAATTGGTATTGACTTCCTAGGATGTTTGTTCTTGATTCTCCTGAAAGATTCTTCCGATTTCCATCGGATTTTTTTTTCAACATCCCTGTAAACCATTCTGTCTTTTGACTATCTCCCGAAGTATGATCTGAAATTCCCAAAATGATCTCTCATCTTCCATAGCAAGTTTCTTTCGAGTTCGCTTGATAATTCATCTGGATGTTTCTCCAGACTTCTCTTTGAGTTTTTTTTTATTTCTATTGGAAATTTCTACCGAGGTCCGAGGTGGAATTGTCTTCCGACTTCCCATGAAGTTTTTTTTTTCGGCCTCTCCTGTTCACGGTTTCCCAGGTACACAGAAACATTCTGGATTTTACTGATGATGCAAATATTCATGCATGTAAACTTCCTTTTCTCGTAAACTAGCAGCTTGCAAGAAATGTTGCGTACAAAGATGAATAGTTGCATACAATTTATGGAATCTTACATGAAATGTCTCACAATAATGTAAATTTGAATGATATATGACGCTCCATTTATGTGCATCATAGTAATGGAAATTTACACTACTTTTTAAAACTGTGTAGAAGAAAATAGCTCAGTCATAGAAAATTATTATCTTGATTCCAAAAAAAGATATGGATTAGCATGACATAAGAGGTAAAATATCAAGAAATAATATCAAAAATCTGCTACCGCAACATCTTTCTAAAACTAAATTAAGAAATTGCGGTATCAAATTGATAACAAAATATTGCACCAAACTGGACTAATAAAGCGCGTTTTCACTTATTTTTTATTTACTAAAAAGTTTTAACAGTTCACAGATTAACTGACAAATCTTTCCCAATGAAAATAGCTTTGTTTGTATTTACATCTTGTAGCGGCAACACCTTATCACTCACACACTCACAGCTTTTTAGCTGTATTCTCCTGCTTCATTAGCTGCTTGTATTTGCCGTCAAACCCGTCATTTTTTTCAAAAATAATCAATGATTCTTCGAAAAACTTTGCAAAACTCCTATTCAATTATTAAGAGAACTAGTTCAATGATTATTTAGGTGTCATTATATGTTTTGACATGTAGGTATAATCATATTTCGATACTGACGAATTCCCGATTTAGCTCCTTAGTTCCTAAGGAATGAAACACATTTTCATGTACTCATATTGTAGCACCACATGGTGGCTTCTAAACACAAATGATTAATAATGTCTATGATTCTTTAAATTGGGATGAGTCATGCTTTTTAAAAGTTTCCTTATATTGATTTCCGGAAGGGTAAGTTCGTTCCCTTCTTTGAAAGCTCGTTCTATAAAATGTGGGTTAAAGTTCATCGTTTTAAAACTTTTCTTTAGTTTGATACGTTGTGTCCATGGAATACCGGCTTTACTATTATGTAAAATGAAATAACGATAAATGGCTAAAAATCCTTCATTAAAAAAATAAGAAAAAACGATTTAGTTAATGGCTTCCAACCTTTCGTATCTACGACATTTTGTCCTTTCCAACCGTTTGATTTACAAATGTGCGTAAATATCCTCTTGTTGAGATCCTATGTAGTAGAGCATTACCAAATGTTTCAATTTATAATTAATCTATTTACAGATAAAACCGTGACCATAATTGAACCATGCCCGACCAAGACATCAGTATTAGCACTGGCTGTAACGTGCTCTTTAATGGTTTTAGTCTACATGTCGACGCTGTTCTGTTACTACATGAAAAAGTGGATTCAACCGCACAAAGTCATGGCTTAAGACGACAAATGGATACAACGATGGTAATCACTCAGCATTAGTCTAATTTATTTATTGTGCTGTAATAGTTTGATAAGGGAGAGCTCTCCTTCCCCAGTTAAAAAAGAAACAGATGTTGAACAATTCTCCCTGTGGATCATAACTGAAAGGGCAGTAGGGCTAACAGAAATATTGAAATGATTATTTATATAGATTACTTCGAAGCAGTGAATTCTTTTCACTTGATCAGTTGTTCGTAAATATTTATTGAGACTCTGACAGACGATCATACTTCAGACAAACATTACGCATACCAAGCATTTTAAAATAAAGTGCTTTTATGCTCGTTAACACAAGTAACTTTGCTATGACTGAAATAAATTGTCAAAGTTGATTCAAACGAGAGTAACAGGACAATAAATATGTGCATATATTGGTATAGATTACATATATGTGTTGACATATATATTTGATGTATACTAATGTAAACTACTGAAAGTTAATCGAAAACGATGTCACCGGTAAAAAAGAAGTTATCTAAAAACCGGCTTAACTCATTAGTGCCACAATAGGGATGATTTGCTTTTTATCTCGAGAACCAACACAAGTGGACATGAAAAAAACTGCTACAAAAAATACTAGTTCTATGTTCTAAATAGAATAATGTAAACTACATTTTTCACATTCCTTTTTCCTTTTATTAACGCATATAAAGTTGAGGTCATTTTTTATCAACACTATTTGGCCATTTTAAAATGACTCATAAAGTCAGATTATGTGATAAATTGGTTACTGCTCAATAGATATCTTCGATGTTACAAGTACTAACAAAACTGCAGTTCACTTGTTCTTGGCTTCCTACAGGCATTTAAATGTTTGCTGTGTTTCACAGTTGCATGCATGACATCGTTTTCACTAAAGAACTTATATTTCTTAAATATCTAGAAACCTTAAAGGAACCTCATCGTTATGGTGAGTCATACGCCCAACAATTACAAAATACTTGAAAATCGAATTTCCCTTAATCATAAATGTTAATTCAACATATTCGTAATCTATTTACACTCTGCATTTGCCAATTATTGAACCAACTTTAAATTGTTTGTTTGGTTGTTTGCTATTTTCCTACTTAAGATTCAAGATATTTAAGAATATTTGTAAAAGAACGTAGAAAAGCGATCGTCGAGAGGATGGCTCTTTCTATTGGGTTCAACATTGTTTGGTGGATTGCAACGTATACTTAATTAAAGGTTTTTCGTGACACTACAAGGAAAGAAACCCTACATGGAAATTCGTACACATATGCTCAGCAATAATGAAACTAACAATTTGTAACCCATATAGAGATTGCGTGTTATTTAGGTTAGTAATTTATTTTAAACCTATAGTTAATACAACCACGCAACAGTATCTGACGAACTTTATGAGAGATAAATCGTATGGTTCTGATTCTAAAACGATCATCGTATTTATTTTAAATCATTGATATCATCACCATCTAGTAGATTAAGTTCATTTTAAATAAAACAACGACGATAAAAGCAAATGCAAAGTCCTGCCCAGTAGAATTTAAAACAAGAATATGCTTACTCAATGACTTTTTGATAGTAATAAAATTTTTATGCAACGTAATATCACCACTTGTTTTATTCCTTACGGCTCAAGACAACTCCTTTTTAGTGTTAATTGATAGGGTTGAGCTTAAGTTTCGGCAAAGGCTTTCAATTAAAAAGATGGCAGCCATTTGATCGAGGCCATGGCCGGCTACGAACAATCCAGCTGATGCACAACCTAGCGAATTCACCTACACCGAACCAAAACATCAATGTCAACGTCGTGTGGCGTGTGGCGATAATCTACATGATGTTTTAACGTGCTAGCAGATGTCGCACCTCCGCCACAACAGTGAGCACCTGGCCTAAGGGTTCCAAGAAACACGTCTCTTGGTGTCTTTGAAGAGAAAAATTACTCAGTTCCTTTAAAGGTTATTCAAGAGATAATGAATAATTATGAAGAAGAGTTATGCAACAATAACCTGGAGCGAGGATGATCTTGAAACAATGAAAAAAGTAGAAGGGTCTGTGACTAGGGGCACGAAATGAAGCTTGACGTAGGACCGCTAGTGGACGGAACAAATATGTTGATCATTTAGTTCTTAACTCTTTCCGTTTTTGAATTGGTGGCCCTGAAAAGGGCCGGTTGTTTTTCAAATGGTGGCCACATCAGTGCAAGTCGATGCCGACCGGATGACGGTGGCCTAGTCATGCTGCCTATTGAGTTTCCTCCGGTCAATGTGGGTGTTTTCGTCGTCGTCGGGTCGTCTTCGTATTGGTGCGATGCGCGCTGTTCCACTCAAACGTCGTGTCCGACGCTTGTCCGTCCGTTGCTCGAATGCAAATGACGAAAAAACTTTTGACTTAAAATGATCTATATTTCTTGAATTTGTGTGGTTTACATGTATAACTTATCAAGTGACACAGATGCGTCTTTTCAACTTTTGTTCCTGTGAAATTTCAATTATTATTAATTACAGTTCCTAGTCCTATCAGGCCTGTTTTAGAGAATGACCACCTTGGTGGGATTGGTTTGTTTTAAAATTTGAAAAAGGAGACTACTTATAACTACTATTTACAACTACAACTAACCTACAACTACTATATACACCTAATCTACTATATCAGTGCCAACATTTCAAAGGGGCGTAATTGCTTTTGTAAACAAAGGCTTTAGCCGTCGATTTCTCGCAAATGAAAGCTCACTCCTCCAAATAAACAATGCTAGCTGGAAGAGGAAACATTCCTCTACCTGTTGGTGCAATCAATTTTCATGAGTGAGCTTTTATTTGTGAGAAATCAACGGCTAAAGCCATTGTTTACAAATGCAATTACGCCCCTTTGAAATGTTGGCACTGATATACAAATTGCTTATCAAAGCATGTTCTGATAAATAACATTTTTGTGCAAATTTAGTCTTAATTTCGTTAATTATGTAATCTATTTTGGCAATGCCTGCCTCTTCGTGAAAATTTGTTATTCTAGTGTCGAAAGGACGATCAAGTACCATCCTCAGCACTCTATTCTGAGCGACCTGGATTTTGTTCCTGTGAGTCTGTGCACATGATTCCCACACCGGAGCTGCGTAGAGGATCGCAGGTGCTATGATTTGTTTGTAGACGGCCAGTTTGTTCACCCTTGAGAGGCGGGATCTGCGGCAAATCAGCGGATACAGACACCTAATCAAGGCAGAACACTTAACTACAGTTTTCTCTACATGCGCACGGAAGAGGAGCTTTTCATCAAACAACATCCCGAGATAGGTTACTTCGGCAGACCACTCAACCCTTGTGCCATTCATGATTACAGTACAAGATGGAGCCAGTTTCAGTTTGGGCGATTACCGATGGAGGAACATGATCGCTTGTGTTTTGGAGGCATTGATTTTGATTTTCCACATACATAATCAGCAAAGGCGTTAAGGCATCGTTGAAGTTTGTTCGTTATTTCGCGAGGCATCCTTCCTTTGACGGCTATTGCGGTATCATCTGCGAACAGGAAAAACACGCAACCGTCACCGAGGGGAGGAATGTCGGAAGTATAAATGCTGTATAGCAAGGGGCCCAGCAGACTGCTTTGCGGGACTCCTGCTGGGATGGAAAACGTGTCGGAAAGACAACCATTCAACGATACCTTAAACGACCTTTGCTGGAGGTAGTTACGGGTGATTTTAACCAGATGTAAAGGAAAGTTGAAGTTACAAAGCTTGTACACAAGTCCGTCGAGCCAAACATTGTCAAACGCTTTCTCAACGTTTAATAAGGCCATGGTTGTGGACTTGGATACAGCTTTGTTACTTCGGATGTTATTCATCACCCGCACTAGCTGGTGATTGGTGGAGTGCCCCTTTCTGAACCCAAACTGTTCCGGAAGGAGAATGTTATTTTCCTCGACAAACTTGAGCAAACGATTGAGAATGAGTTTCTCGAACAATTTGCTCAGCGCTGAAAGGAGGCTGATTGGTCTGTAGCTTGAAGACAATGTTGGATCTTTACCGGGTTTGCGGATTGGTATGATTTTTGCTATTTTCCAGATGCTTGGAAAGTAGTGCAGTTCCAAACATCTGCACTTTCATGCTGAGTCTCTTCAAGATCAAGTTAAATATACCGTCAAACCCGGGAGCCTTCATGTTCTTGGTGCATTTCAGCGCTGAGCAAATCTGTTGTACTGTAATCATATCCGCCGGAGGCACGACACAAGGGGAGACATCTAGGTTTTGAACGCATTGCGCAACCTGATCATCGAGCGGACTTTGGATAGTCGAGCCAAGCAAATGCGATGAAGCGACATGCTTGCCGATCGCATTTGCTTTCTCCTGTGGGGTAATTAAAAGCCGATCGTCATCATTTTCGACTTTGAGAGGTGGAACGGGTTTGGGATGATTTTTCAGGACCTTGGCTACCTTCCAGAATGGTCTGGAGCGGTCGTCCAGATTCTGGACAACACGCCCGAAACTTTCATTTTGCAGTGAGTCCATTCTGGAAGCAATCTGCCTGTTCAGATCGGCCATATCACGTTTTTTGCCTAGGTCTCCAGTCCTCTGAAACTGGCGTCTACGCACATTTCTCAATCGAATCAATAATTGGGTGTGGGAATCAATAGCAACAAACTTACCCCTCACAGGAACTTGTCGAACGCATGTCTCGTCAGCCTCGGATATGGCCCGTTGGAGTCCTTCCAACACCCGGTCGATGTCATCTACGGTGTCGAGCAGTGGATTTTCATTGATGTTGCTGTCCACCATTCGTCCGTACTGCACCCAGTTGACATGGTGGTAGTCTTTACGCAGGCAGCTTCTAGCAGGAACCACGTTGACACCGACTTCAGTCACCACCGGTTGGTGGTCGGAGCTGAGATCGTTGTGCGCCTCCGGCTTGGATAGTCCGATGTTTGACAGGAAAAAGTCCAGCGTGGAGGGATTTCCCGCCGGAGAGATGAAAGTTGGTTCGTCTGGAAATTGCACAGTGTACAGTCCATGTTGTGCGTGGTCGAACAATAGACATCCGTTCCGGTTCCTCTGGTAGTTCCACCAAGCTTCATGGCGGGCATTCAGGTCACCCCCAACGATGAATCGGGAGCTAGTACGGGTGATGGCGGTCAGGTCGTTCTTGAATTGAGTTCCTAGTCCATTGTTGGCGGTGTACTGGCGTGGGCAGTAAACAGCGACAAACCGGACGTTTCCAGTTGGTGATTCCACCTCCACACTAACGGCCTCGATGATAGAAGTGCGGACGTGGGGCAGAGTGCAGAACTTGATTCCCTTTCTGACGATGACCGCTACACCCCCCCCCCCCCCCCTGAAGCTGGTGCGATTTAGCCGGATAATGTTGTGGTCAGGCAACCAGAAGCTGTCGCCGGACCTTAGATGGGTCTCGGTTAGAAGGCCCACGTCGATGCTGTGCTTGCGGAGGAAGTCGGCAAGCTCAATCTGTTTTGCTTTTACAGAGCAAGCGTTCCAGGTAGCGATGGTTAGCGGTTTAGACACCATACTGGATGATGAACTTACCGAGCACTTGGATCTGTTCGGGTTTATTGCGGCACTTACGAAGAGCACCAGACATGTTGACGAAAATTTCCATCAGTTCATCCGCTGAGAACAGATCGGGGTTGTTGTTTTGCGCTGGTGGTTGTCTCCAGAATCCAGGGGGGGATGGAGAGCTTTGGCCAGCAGAATCACCAGAAGTTGCTTGAGCGGAATGCACCCGCGAATTCTCTTGCCTTTGCTGAGGAGCACGAAGAGGCGGGAAATCCTCCATCCAAAATGCCGGGACTTTGTCCTTCTTGCGTCCTGGTTGGTTGTTAGTTGCCGCCTGTTTTCGGATGCGTTTGAAGTCCTCGCGTTTGGAGCACTGTCTTTCGGAACCTTGGTGAGCACCACCACAGTTAGCGCATTTTAACGCCACGGCTCCATCCACAGGGCAGTTGGAAGTGGCGTGGTTTTGAGCGCAATTGCCACAGCGTGGCTTAATGTTGCAGTTGTGGGTGCCGTGTCCAAAGTTCAGACACCGTTGGCACTGAGTCACATCACGATGGCCGCCACGGTATGACTCCCAGCGGACGATGATGGAATTGATGGATCGGATGGCCTTCAGCGCGTTGAGCGTCACCGTTCCCTTCTGGAAGTGTACCAGGAAAAGGCTATCCGGATACGCCTTCACATTTTCGTCCTTCCTTGTCATCCGATAGACGGCACTTGGGGCCAGCTTGTACCGGTCTCTGATTTCAGCTTCGATAAACTTTGGGTCGAAGTTTGGTAGGCCCCTAATGACGACCTTGAATGGCTTCTCACCGGGAATGTCGTGGGTGAAGAATTCCACCTTGGAAGTCCTCAGGTGGGCGACGACCAAGTCATACTCCGCTTTGGTACGGAGCACCACCTTGGTGCCGACTCTGCCCAACTTGTATTCGGCTTTAACGCCCAGCGTCGCTAGATCTGCGATGAGCTCATTAAGATGGGCATTTTTCACTACCAATGGAGGTAGCTTCACTTTTGCCGCACTCGGGCCGGCAGAATTTTCGTTGCCGATGGCGTCGCCGAAATCACCGATGTCGCTGGCGTTCGTCGCAGTGACATCGGACTGGCCTCGATTCTTCTTTCTCTTCTTGCTGCGTTTTTCCAACACAGCTGGCTGGGTATTCCCACACGGACAGAAAATTGTTTGCATTGAACCAAAAAAAACTTTAATTGTATTTAAGCAAACAATTCCGGTTGAAATTATATTGCATTTTGTTGTTTCAATAATACTTATTCATATAAATTCAAAATAGGATTCTTTTTGTTTTAATCAGCCACTTTTCAACTGCAACTATTGTAAACATAACAATATTCTATTATTAAGCCAACAATAGTTAATATTAATTAAGCATTTATTTGCTGTGTTCATTTTCTGGGTCATGAAAGCAAAAATAGCTACCAACGATTCCCTCGTTTTCACCCGGACAAAAATGTAAACAATAACAATACTTTCGCGTTCCTCGTAAGTATTGTTTTTAATTGTGAATTTCGGGAAATAAGTGCAAGATTTTCGAAAATCTTGAGACTTGAGGTAAGTAAGTATGCTGCAATTCGAGCTGCAGTTGATAAATATAATCAATGTTTCTGTTTTTATTTCCTTGATTTTTTTCCGTCGATCATATTTTCCGTACTGACGAGTACCAATGCTCCCGACGCCAGGAAGGCAGCTCCCACATCTGGACCCTACATATCGACCCATCAACTCATGAACCGGGGGCTTTCTGCAATTTTGTTTCAAAAAGAAAACGAAACATAAAAAAAAAATTGCCAGATTATTTTTGCATCAATAAACATATTTTTATTTCTACTGCGTGAATTGTCATACTTTATGAAATAAATATGATTGAATCAACAAGAAATCTCTTTTAAAAACAAACATATTTTTGTTGTTAACCCAGCTGCCAAATTTGACAGCTTACGTCAAAACCATGAAAGCTCTTAAATTCTAACAGATTTCCTTTTTGATTTAACAATCCATGGGTTTTTAGAAACAAAAATACTGGATTGTTGAAACAATAATGATTTCTTTTTGCAGCCAAAACAAAATGAAATTCTTATTGATTTTACGTCAAATATTATTACTTTTAAAATATTTTTTTCTGCGTGCATCCATGGGGAGAACAGCAAACCTGTTCGAGGTAGGCACACCGGATCTTCCTTCACCGGGGTTCTGGACCTTCGCCGGGCTTCGCGACCGATGCTTCCCGATTTCTGGGCACACACACACGCACGACAAACCGCGAAAGAGAGCGCGAACACTATCGCCACGAACTTTTCAAACAACTCGAGAGAGCGAGCTAACACCGAACTGAACTGCTTGACGATCAAGCAGAGAATAATCCTGACGAAAAAAACGATATGGCAAGCGTTTTTATTATCGCTGCTTTTCTCCTCCCTTCCTTTCATTGGCTCGCTTCCTTTCATTTGTACGCTCATGTGAGCATGCGCAATGTGTCGTGTGTTCGATCTGCGCTCTATTGTTGCGTCCGTGTTTGGGATTTTTCGCTACATGTCTGAATTTTGATTTTTTAATGTGACCCCCAGTATAGAAATTAAAGACGTAGTCCTACTTCAAAATGAGTTGGTTAGTCTTCATCTATTCGTTGTTCCCTAGTATGAAGTGGTTAAGACTAGGGTTCTGATGCATGCTCATTGCTAAATTTTGTTGTTAAGGAATCCAATTTTGTCTGACAAAGGGGACCTTTGGGTATAAATAGGGGGACCTTCAATTAGAATCGATTCCTTGCTATGAAGGCAAGAATGACAACTTTATCAAAACCGAATACTTCACCATTCCTCAATAGTGATGGAGTAATACCAACAATCAATACGAAACTAACGATTTTAAATTGGCTCACCACTTTAGTAGCCTATTGGTCCCAAGCAAACGATTAACGTACCCTATTCTAGTTGAAATTCTATTACTACACTATGTTTGTTTTGATTCGATATGAAAGTTTGACAGATAACATCAGGGGTGTGTGGATTCATGCAGAACATGCAGGGGTGAGTGAAATAGCTTGGGACTGCTTGGGACCGTTGTTCTGGTACTGAGTGAGCCAACAATAATAATGATTTTCTTCGGGACCCAGTGGTCTTAGAGTTACCTCTATGGTAATACAACATGCACTAAACTAAGGACACGGGATATACTACAATAGATCAAATTACTGGTCGCAGTGGCTTTATGTCCCGAACAGAGGAAAAAAAGCTTAATTTTGGGTAGAATATACTTAAGAGTTAGTATTTTTTTGCTGGTCTTAAATGGAAACTACTATATGCGATTCACTCTAATTTGGATTATTGGGCTGAACCCAGGAATTAAGGAATAAGTACGTAGTATTTACTTAATTAGGGGTAGTTTTTTTATCTCCATGCTCATTAGATCCGAAATTGACGCGTTGTGGCAAAGTGACAGCTAAATCTATTATCTAACTGTCAAATTAACATCAACGAAACACAAACGGATCTAATGTGGGTGGCCTTTTTCATGCTGGCTTAATGAAAAAGATTTGAGAATGATGTTGCGAACACTGCCGTTGTGATTTGATAAGTCATTCAGAGAATCGAGATCGATATGATAAATTTATGTAGTTTTTGTTAATTACTGTAAGTGCAACTATGAAGGGAGCTATATACATACATTATCGTTAGTCCAGCACTGAAAAATCTAAATCTCCCTAATATGTAAAATTTCGGAAATGATTTTATCAAACAAACTTGCATTGAAGAATGCGGTAATCATGTATTTTTTACAACCACAAAGGATTATTAACATCCATATATACGGAATTTTCAAAAAAAAAGTATTGAATGCATACGTAGATTCGCTATCGCTAATGTTATCTATCTATTATTTTGAGCATACAACCAGTATGTCATTTAACCAGTAAACATATTGTTTAAGATCCCCTTCACATAAATACGGAGCTTTGGTCCAAGATAAGATTTTAAATCCGATGTTTTCAAGTTGCTCGAAGAATTTTTCAATCTCCTTTTCCATGGGTAAACAGGATTGGCTAGGCCAATGTTCCATAAGAGGCCGTAGTGGCATGTGACTAGAATCTGTGGAAATAAAATAAAACATAATTACACTCTACTATAAACAGCGCACTTAGAATTCATTGATAATTTCAGTAATTTGAAATGGAAGATTAGCAGTACAGTTCAGTTAAATTTAGATAGCTCCATTAAGCTGCAACTTACATTGGTGCGCTAATTCATTTCCGTTTCAAAAATCATTAAAGATAAGTCAGCATTTATTTATCAAAGCCTTTGCTTCGAGTTAAGTTACTAGATATACCGTAAAACGGGGTAACAATGATAGTTTTTTTAAAGTATATTCTAAATATTTTTTACATCAATTAATGTTTATCATTTTTTTTTTAACCGAACATCGATTTTGATTTGGAGTTACTTTGCTAATGCTCGATGAATGTAGAAAAACATGTGTGAATCTCAAACAATTTTTTTCAAGAAATATGAAACTTTTAATGAGTATATAATCAGAAACATCATAAGCAATAATAAGACAACATTGAATTTGTGATGGCTGTATCAGACATACATTTCATAAGTGATGGTTTGAGTGCCTTTTCAAACAGGCAAAAAGCAAGAAAATTGTTTTTCAATATGTTTGGCAAACACGTTACACAGGCTATATAAAAATTATATGCGATATCAAGGGAAATGTCCTAAGCTACAATATGGAACCAATGTTTCTAGTTCGGAAAATAGGCAGAGAGTAAATTAAATCATTATAATCTACCACAGACAAATAGACTCAATCGCAAGTTGTTCATCGGACAAGAATTTAACAGTCAATTTAAAAGTATCGTAGTTGGTAGTACCACCACCTGTGGCGCGCATAGTCAATTTCCTTGCATTTGACGTTTACACACTACCGCCTTCTGTTCAGCGTACAACGCACAACAATGTACTTAACAGATGGCGGTAATGTTTTAGCGACGATGTTTTACATTGAGAAATGTGTTATGTCTGTTTGTCTGTGATTCTACTATCAAAGTTACCCGCATTATCAAAGATACCCCGTTTTACGGTACATATAAAAATGAATTTCTGTCTGTCTGTTTGTCTGTTGGACCCTTGTAGACTCGGAAACTACTGAACGTCTTCCTTCGGAAGGAAAGTAAAGCCGATGGTCCCGGCCCATGTGTGTTGATAAATGGGTGCGATATCCTACGCAGGTGTGGAAGCTGCCTTCCTGCACATTCGATTGCCGTCAATGGATGGCAGTCGATGTCCGTCGGTGATTGGCACTACACGGTAAGAAAAAAGTAGAAGGGTCTGTGCCTAGGGGCACGAACGGAAGCTTGACGTAGGACCGCTAGTGGACGGAACAAATGTGAACATTTAGTTCTTTTAATTGATCAATCATCAATTATCTTAACTCTTTCCGTTTTTATTTGTAAGCGTATCAAATTTGTAGTATTTATTTCAAAGAGAAAGTTGATGAAGAGAATCCAAGGGACTCTCAACTTGAGTATTTTCGATTCATCTACCCGACTTTAAAAGGTGTATTTTGAATTTTTTGTTATTTTTAAGTTTTGTGTATTTTGGTATTAAAGTGTATTCAATTCACCCCTCACAGGATTTCCTTCCGAATTATATGAATGGGGCGGGGCGGAAAGTATCGTTTGTGCAGAATATGTAAAAAAGGAGGGACTTCGAGAGATTGAACTCGTGAGAGCTAATTTTCTCACAAATTTGATTTTATTGGCTTTCTGGGGACTGAATATACACCCAAAGCGAATTATTCCCACTTCTCTCAAATTCTATCTTCCTACCAGCGTGTTCTGGAAAATGATTGGACAATGATTAATCTCACCAATACATTCGGGCCTACAATTCCACACCTTATATAGAGACCAGGTTGAGCCTTGATAGCTAGCTGCTTGCGGGAACTGATGACCTTGACAAATGTCCAAATAATACTCTTAATTAATTTATGGTGGTCCTGAAAAGGACCATTTTGTAGTGATGGTTGAGTAATGCTGAGCTGAGCACGACGAGCTACTGATTCCGATCCTAGCCTAGCGGTGGGACTTCTTCCTCCTTCTCTATGGTTGCTCATATGAGCTCTGCAGCTCGCTGCTTGCAGGCAGCCTTTCGTTGTTGTTGTTGTTGAAAGCACTCCTGCTGCTGCTCCTGCTGCTGCTACTACTGCTGCTGCTGGAGTGGACACCACCACTTACGGTGATTGAATGAGCACCGTTCAGTGGGACCGCATCGAATTCGATTTTTAAGTCTGTGTTAGGGAATGCGCTGTTTTCAGACATTCGGTGATAATTTTGATCACCATTGCAACAGTTGGACATTTGGTATTTTTCAATAGTGACCTATTGAAAATTAACTAAGTGTTCATTTTAGCAGATGGGTAGATAAATTTCCAATCGTTTGGCTTGTTTAGAATTAAAATCTATCTGCTATTGGTCGAAACCTGACCTCTTTTCGTAATGCTGTACATTTTGGTTTTTTGAAATTGCGTGGATTCTATAGATACGAATCTAGCCCTGATGTATGTGTTGGTAGAGGGAAAAATGTAAACTTTGCGGGAGACGATGTCTTAACACTCGAAAGCAATTTTGTGAAATATGAAGTAAAACCAATCCTAGCTAGTTCTGCATGATGATTTTGTTTGATTTTATTTATTTGTAAAGTCGCCGAGAAATACCAGCTGGTGATTTGTTTTTTATGATAACTCCTTACTTGAAAACAGGCAAAAACTCACAAACAGGCTGCTTTTTCATGGTATACAGTGTGATAATTCAATAATCAAAAATTATCTCAACATTTAGTGGCAAACCATTAATAAATTTTACATAATAAACATACAAAAAATTCTATAATCCACATTAAATTTCATATATAAGCGCCGATTGAAACTATCTTTTCGACGTCACTACAAGGGTGATTGATTAAACGAGAGAAACGAATCGTGTGGAATGAAAGCCGAGGAAAAACTAATTGCACCAATATATTCAGGCCTACAATTCCACACCTTCTATAGACAGGTTGCGCCTTGATAGCTAGCTGCTTGCGGGAACTGATGACCTTGACCAATGTCCAAATAATACTCTTTAACAAATTTTTGGTGGCCCTGAAAAGGAACGTTTTGTAGTGATGGTTGAGTAATTCTGAGCTGGGTATTCAACACGGATGAGGCTGTCGAGCTGTATGTCGTTTGGAGCGAGGGGTTTTTGGGGTCGGGAAAGGTTTTTTTGATGGTTCGAGACCCATGGGGGACTCCCATACAAATGAAACATAAATTTCTGCATAACTCGAGAGCTAATCAAGCAAATGGAACCAAATTTGGCATGTGGACGTATAAGGAAATGGGCATAGGGGGTAGCCCCTTAGATACGAGGGGAGCTACGTACAATATAGCATGCTTTTTTTTAATCGGTGCATAAAATCAAGCTAATATTGAATCCCAAGCAAGGCCGGGCACACTCACCTAGTGTTAAATAAAAACTACGGGAATGTTGAATTACAGATTTAAGAGGTGTGAGTCGAAGCGAAGTGGAGTATGACGAAGTAGTTCCTATTGAGTATTTTGAAGAGGTAAAAGGGTAATTACATGTTGCTCTTAAAAGCTGCAGCCGCTACGCACCACCCACTAAAAAACACGGTCAGGGTACGATAAAATGATTTTTCTACCATTAAAACGATTAAATGCTCCATAAACCTTTGAAAAACGCTCAATTACTGCGTAGCTACTCAGATTTTCTGTCCTGTCCACGTTTCCAGCGGAGCTGAGCGACGGTCAACGTCTACAATAAGCATCTAAAAGAACTTTGTCTATATGTTTAGTATTACTTCTGCGTGAAGTCAACGATTTACATAGTTGAAGATGCTAATTTCAAATCTAGATAAACATTTCAAAAGGTCCTATCTGCATTGATAGATTCTCTTCATCGACTTTCTCTTTCGCAAAACCTTTCCGTGTTTTATTTGACATTTTGGACGCTAGATAAGAACCTCCTTTATCAAAATATGTGGTAGAATTAGCGCGAAATCTGTTTGCATAACAGTGATTATGAAAAGAGAAAGTCCATGAAGAGAATCGACCAAGGCAGATAGGACAATTTGAAATGTTCATCGAGAAATAACAGGCTGAAGTGGTAATTTTTATACGATGGAGTGAGGAGATGAAAGTATAGGGTAGAGCGCTACTTCGTCGTAATCGCCCATTTCCGTTCTATCGATCAGAAAAGATCAATAATATCAATGATTTCACCGTGCACAAATCCATAATAGGTTTTTTTCCGATGCGTTAGTTCATTAGCTACAACATAAATCCTATTAGAGCGCATTGTATGAATATTTACGCTCATTGTTCTCAAAACAAAAAAGCGCCCCTAGCGAATCTCTCTTTTCTACGTTTATCCGTAGGACGAAGAAAATCTAATGGCGTTTCAATGCGTTAGGACGGAATTGAAACTCGTAGAACGAATTTAGAATCAAGAAGCAGTATTAAATTTTGTACAATATCTCAACAATTTGTGGCTCTTTATCAAATCCAACGGTACGTATGGAAAGGTGAATAAATTTAGTAGTCATCTTTGACAGAAATATTCCATTTTTTGTTTATACTCGTTCAGAAAAGAGAGATAAAGTGCGGGATGCAGTGCTGTAAATTTTCATATCATTCGATTGAAGATGAACCACTACAACCATTCAATCAATTCTGTGTAAACGAATTCTCACATGACCATAATTTGAAGAGCCCCTTTCTCATTCGAAGCTCATTGTCACTGTCAATTGAGTCACTCAGTATCATTTGATATACGACAGTGGAGTATGGAAGAAATCCAGAAATATAGCGTTTCTCAAATGAGAATGATCCATGCCTTCGTCAAATGACTAAGCAACTGATATCACCCATTCGGAGGAGGTCCCCTTTGATAGCGAATAGCTACTTTTCTCATTTTCATCAAAAATGTTCAAATGATTTTGAGAATTTACAGCACTGGCGGGATGTGCTTAGTAGGACGGAAATTAGATCGAAAACCCTACAAAACCCTACAACTGCATATAGAGAGTAGACAGTGAGCTAGGACAACTTTTAGGAAGGTACAAATCGGTTTTATCATCTCTCTTTACCAAATTCCCCATTGGAGTGGGATGGTGAGGGGTGTGTGTGTGTCACGGGCTTTAAAAAAATAAAAATATTTCATACATAGCAGCATCTCGAGCTTAGAGCAATTAAAAAAAAACATTTCCAACATGTAAAAAAATTCAATATCCCAAATCAATAAGAACGTTCAATATCCTGAATTTTCCAATTTTGTTATGATCCTGGACTTCCAAAAGCTATCATGATTACAAATCATTATGGTTTGTATTACATTTGGGGTAGTCAAAACCGGTGAAGTATCATTAGACCGAATGCCACTAGGCCGGACGTCATAATGTTGAAATTCCAATAGCTGCTATTTTTTCATCATACGACATGTATTGTCTGGTTTGAGAAAATAAATAGCAGCAAAAAGAAGCAATTTAGCAATCATGTTGATAAATAGTTCATCCTAGAGCGTATATGACACAATATTAGCTTAGTAAAGCAAATCCACGTCAAGTAGTGAATAAATAAACAAATTTCAGATTTTACCTCTCAGAAAGTTCCATGAAACTATGCATAATGTTTCGCTATGGGCAACATATCAAATTTATGCTGGAAATCAGCCATTTGACTCACGCCAAATTTTTTTAAATGGCGTTTTCGATGTTTTTCAATAGGTTCTAGCACAAAAACGTTTCATTCTTATCGGAATAACGGCTAAGACAAAGTTGAAGGAAACTGGATTGAGTTTCAGAACATAAATTTTGGACAAAAAACTGACACAGATTGCAAAAAAGTGCATTTTTAGATTTATGTTTTGTTTATGTAATTTGAAAGATTATCAAAAATGCAAACTTTTCTGATATTGCACTCAATGGAAACTTTAAATTTGACAAAAATCGTAAAACATCAACTTTAATGATTTTTTTCTGGTTCAACTTTGTCTCAGACTTCATTTTGGTTAGATGAGCAATTTTCGTGCTAGGATTCTTTGAAAAAATTGAATAAGCCTTTTTTTTAATTTAGGCGCGAGTCAAAATGGCCGAATTTCAGCACAGACTTGGTGTATTGCCACTAGCGAAAAATGATGCAAAGTTTCATGGAATTCGGAGAGGGTAAAGTTTGAACGGCGTGGATTTGCTGAGTATGATTATTATTATTTTTGTACATTGCATTGAAAGAATTTTTCATACTTACTTTTCTCCACATAGTGACTGTAAGGCAATACTAACGCCAATAGTATTCTTCCGTTTGGTGCAAGAGCATTGTACATGTCATATAGTAGCTGATGTGGATCAATACAGCGATCAAGTACGTTGAGGCAAGATATGAACTCTACGTCATTCAGTTGGTTTATCTCTTCCAGGACCCTTAAAATATAACGACAATACACTCTTAGTTAAAAATAAATTATGAATCTAATGAAGGTCCACACGCATGCTATCCCGAAAATTTGAATAAGTAAAATGAACATAGTAAGTAAAATATGCACTTGGCGTTTTTCATTGCTGATTCGTCGAAATTTCGATCAACCTAGCAGGTAGGCTTTCAATCAAAGTATCTTCTACCCCCTCAATCGTTTACATTTACAAAAAAAAAATTAGCGCTCAAAAAGCCAATAATTGTACATTCTACAGCCGTCGTTCATTTTTAGTTCCTCTAACTGTTAAATAGTCTATGCACTAACTGTTTCTGAATCCCAACTGAATCAAAAGTGCATGGAACTTAAGGCAAACAGAAACTTCGATGATACTATTGATAAACATTTGAATCACAAGCTTGAGCATAGATGCGTTTTAGATGTTTGTTAATTTTGCTAATTTGAGAAAATGTAAATGTGTCAATTTATTATGCAAAATTCTGAATCCAATGCTAATCAAATAGACCATTTCTTCAAACATAGCACCAAAACTAATGCCACGATGAAATATAATATGGAAACAGATATCCACTTCCAAAATAACTATTTTATAGCGTAGCAGAATGCATTGCTCGTCAGAGGAGCATTTCGAAAGAATTGTACTGTAGATGTTTACCCATAATAGCAAAAACAAAATGAGAAGGAAAAATGTCATTGTCATCATCAATTTCACCACAATGATCAACTTTCGCCCGTTTCAAGGTAACAGTTAAAAAAAAACTTACGTTATCTGCTTTTCTGCGAGCCTTGACCGCATTATCCAACTTGACTCAGTTGCATATAACTTCATGGTAGATGATGGGAAAGTTGAAGCAATCCCACTTACAAGGCGTAAAGTAACTTCTCCATCTCCAGCTCCAATATCCAATACTTTTATCTGTTGGGGATATAAAATAAAAATTAATCCCTTAGCATTAGCAGCACGATTAACTTTTCTGATAATTACAAAAGAACTAATACCACGAGCTGACTATAGCATGTAATATAGGGTGTTAAGATCAGAATTAGGTCTAACAAGAATGCGTGTAAATTGATTATTGTTTTATTAAAAAAATTAAATTATTTAATTTACTAATTGAATAATTCGATTTTTTTTATAAAATATTAATCAATTTAATAAAATACAGAAAAATATTGAGCTAAGCTTCGGGTTGACCTAATCCAAATTGCCAGGCCTTTCATCCGCTTTGTTCGCCGCAGAACACCAGTTTGTATTAAACTGCTTCTCGCTTCCAACAATTCTTTGGGTCTTCTTCAGGTTCCGCTTGACGATGGCCCAATATTGTTTCGATTGGGCGGAGCTCTGGCGTGCTGAGAGGGTTCTTGTCCTTGGGCACCACCTACACGTTGTTGGTGGCACTTTCCACAGCCTTTTTCCGCAATGACAGGATGCCAAATCCGGGCAAAACAGCACGGAACAATCGTTTTGCTTCAGGAAAGGCAGCACACGTTTTTCCAGACAATCGTTCAAGTAAAGTTCCTGGTCCCGGTTGCAATGAAAATGTCGATTTTCAAGCCACAGGTACAGTTTCATATGCTTGAAAAAAAGGACTCCACTGCGTCCTAGCAAGAAGTACGGTCGACTTGGTTCTCGCTCCGCTATTCGCTATTAGTGTTTTCTGACATAGTTCCCAATTAAATAATTAACTCTTGAAGCAATTGACATTGAAGTGGCCTCTCCTTGCAGTAATCATTTCCTTCTATGGATAATTTTTCAACCGAGGTCGGGGATTTGATCTCTGTTCTACAGTGGAATTGTCGAAGTCTTATTCCTAAATAAGACTAATTTAAGTTTTTAGTTCAGAATAATGATTGTAATGCATTTGTTCTTTGTGAAACTTGGCTCTCTTCAGATATCGATCTTCCTTTTTATGATTTTAACATTATTCGATTGGATTGGAGGATTCACGTGGGGATCAAAATGTATGTAAATGTAATGTATGAAAATCTCAAGGAAAATCCGGAAAATCCATTGTCAGGGTAATGAAAACTTCTCTGTTTTATTATGCTTGAAAACTTATTATTTTTCACTGGTGAAATTTTTAGAGTGGTGCCTCTTACCGGGTTTGCATTATGAGGCGGCATATATTATTTACGCTACACTGAAAATCGAATTATCGGTGCTTGTTTCATGAGTTATGATTTTTCAAAGTACGCGATGTCCGGGAAAACCGAAATCTTCATCTAAAATTTTCCTGAAAAGTTAACAAACTTGATTTTTTTTATATTGTTCATACCTGTGGGCAAAATTTCATAAAATTCTGAGACCCTTTTGGGCCAAACCTGTTAGATAGTTTTATTTTATTTATTTTTTATCATAGTCACTTTAACACTCTTGGGTCTTCAAGCCATGAATGGTCCGGGGTGAGATTTGTACTCGTAACTTTGGCGTGAGAGATGGATGTTCACCACTATGCCGGGGTCGCCCCTTTGTCCGACAGTGCAAAAAAAAAACTTTTAACGAAGTTCTTAAGCGAGCTTCAAGAAAATTTCTAATTCTAATTGTAATTGTTCAGTGTATAGACTGTGCCAACCACTAAAAAAAATACCAAGATAAATTACAATTAATCCAAAATCTTCCGTCTGAATCCCTGACTTATGTACCAAAAATACAAAAATAAAAAATAAATATCGTGTAAAGTCAACAATATGGAACATCATTTAAGTATGTCATCTAATGCTTTCTTAAGCATCAAAATTAATCCAATACTTACAATAATTATACTTACGGTTCTTGGTTCTTGATCAAGGGTATTATTAATTCCACTTTTTATCAGCAAGTGTTTGAACTGCGGCTCTGATAGGATAAACATCGATCCACGTTTTAAAATTCCATTGACATCAGTTTGGGTAAGAAATACACTAAGGAAAGCCTTAGCTATAAGGTGCCATAATTGTAACCACAGTTTACCGGAAACTTCTTTAGATTGCTCTAACCACTTGAGCGTGATTTCATCTGGACTCTGCATGTTAACAAATCTCTTCTCATATTTTCCCGGAAGTTTTGATAATGTGTACCACTAAAATACATATAAAAAAGAAACATAACTTAGCTTCACTAACATATAAAAGATTTATAATTTTACATTATTGGATTAGTGCCAGTTTTGGCCCTAGTTCTTCAGTTTCTGGTCCTAGGGCCTAATCAAATTTGAAATAAATTTTCATGGTTTTAGTAGCGTAATGACAAATAGTAATACAAGATAATTGAAAACCCCAAAAACCTAGATTAACCTTCCTAGGGTTGACACTGAAATTTTTCGTGTGCAGTGCGTAGCAAAAGAACACCAAATTTCACTTTTCAGGAATTGAAGAATTGAACATAAATCGGTTCAAACATCTTCGAAACAATAAATGTTACACACATATGTCGCCACGCAAGGGGTGTTAATGTAAGATTTTGCTGCACATTAATAAGTTCTTATTAAGTTTAGAAACTTACTGCTGACATGTCACAGTTATCAAGTGAAATATCATTTCGGGTTTTATCCACCACAGCACGTGCTAGGAATCCTCTTGGAGAATAATCCATATCTGAAATATGATAAAAAAAATGTTATTTTAACTTAGACCGATACAAATTTTTATTTGACTTTATGACACAAAGAACCCCTAATAAACAAATACCATCATCCCACTGCGACCTAGCAAGAAGTACAGTCGACTTGTTTCGCGCTCCGGTATTTCGGAAGTTTTCTCGGTATTCGGTTGGTTTAAATTATCAGTTTTTTCTCGCTTAGTGATTACTGGCATAGTACCCGGCTAAACAATTATCTGAAAGTGAGTTTTTTTCTGAGAAGAAAGTGTGTTTTCGGCATCATCGGAAGGAAAATTGTTTTTGCGATTGCCAATTCGCCAACCATTTTGCCATCGGTGCGTGATCACGCATACCTGCACACAGATCATCGTCATCGAGTGTCAGCATCTGCCTCCGCATTTATACCGGTCATCCATCATCGTGTGTCCAGCTGAGTGCCGAGCCTAATACAAGCACACCACTACAAAGATCGCCCGCACACGCGCATCGAAGGTCACCCACGCTGCGCGTCGCTCCGCTGCTGCTGTGTAATCACTCGGTGGTAGTAGTATAGCAGATAAGTTTTTTTTTCCTGTTTCTTTCTCTCGCCCATCAGTTAAATTTAATTTTGTGTTTCTGTGTTTGTAGTTTTTTTCTGTTTATTGTGTCTGTGTGGTTTTAAGCATCGTTTCAGTGGTAGAGCGTTTACCGCTCCCACTAGTACGGCAAAATGGACGTCTCGTCAGAAGACGATATGGACATTTTGTCGGAAGATGAAACCAGTTTGCCACTCGATGGCAAGAAAAGACGAAAACGTCCTGTCATTCATGGTTCGTCTCAGAAAAGCCCCCGATCGCGAGCCTATCCAGATGACTCGACTGGGCCATGGGTTGTCTACTTTCAGCCCAAAAACAAACCTTTGAACTTGATGCAAATTTCCACTGATCTGACGAAGCGATACTCGGCCGTGACCGAAATCACGAAGGTTAGGCATAATAAACTTCGTGTTGTCGTTTCTAACCTGAAGCAGGCTAACGAGATTGCTGCCTCCCAGCTCTTTACGATTGAGTACAGAGTTTACATACCAGCTCGTGATGTGGAGATCGAAGGTGTGGTCACCGAAGCGAGTCTGACCCCCGAGATCTTGGAGAAGCAGGCGGTTGGCCCCCGGTGAAGATACTGGATGTCCAAAAACTGGGCTCAGTATCTGTCAGCGAGGGTAAAAAGAGTTTTACCCCCACAGACTCGTTTCGCGTGACCTTTTCTGGTTCAGCCCTTCCTCAGTACATCGAGTTGGGAAAACTTCGGCTACCTGTGCGCTTGTTTGTTCCTCGGGTCATGATCTGCCAAAACTGCAAACAGTTGGGACATACGGCCTCTCACTGTGGCAGCAAGGCACGCTGTTCCAAATGCGGGGAGAAGCACGAGGATGGCGCCTGCACAGTCACGGCACCAAAATGCGTGTACTGCAAAGGATCTCCTCCTCATGGTCTCTCGTCGTGTCCGGTGTATAAACAACGCGGGGAAAAACTAGAGCGCTCTCTTAAAGAACGTTCCAGGCGGTCTTTTGCAGAAATGCTTAAGACAGCCAAGCCATCGACCAACGAAACAAATCCCTTCGCTCTTTTGTCAGATGACGAGTCTGGCTCTGACTTGGCTGAGGAGGGAGTTTCTTTCAGTTTTCCGGAAGGTTCTGCCCGGAAACGAAAACGCATCCGTTCGCGGAAAGTTGCAGATCAAGAACCCCAAATCAGCTTGCCCAAATCAAGGAGTGGTGGAAAAAAGGAGACTTCTACTCCTCCTGGATTCCGCAGAACTGATTATACCCAGGATTTTCCACCTCTCCCGGGGACATCCAAAACCCCCGATGCCCCAATTTTCAGAACACAAGCCCCTTCTTCATCTGGGTTGTTCTCATTTGATAACATTGTGGACAGTATCCTCAATTACCTCGATATTTCTGATCCTCTGAAAAGCATTGTTCTGGCAATGCTTCCTACTGTGAAAACCCTCTTGAAGCAGTTGACATTGAAGTGGCCCCTCCTTGCAGCAATCATCTCCTTCGATGGATAATTTTCCAAACGAGGTCGGGGATTTGATCACTGTTCTACAGTGGAATTGTCGAAGTCTTATTCCTAAGATAGAATCGTTTAAGTTTTTGGTTCACAATAATGATTGTGATGCATTTGCTCTGTGTGAAACTTGGCTCTCTTCAGATATCGATCTTCCTTTTCATGATTTTAACATTATTCGACTGGATCGTGAGGATTCGCGTGGAGGAGGAGTACTTTTGGGGATCAAAAAGTGCCATTCCTTCTATAGAGTGAATCTTCCACAATTTCCAGGTATTGAAGTTGTCGCATGTCAGGCTTTTGTTAAAGGCAAGAGCCTTTGTATTGCTTCTGTGTATATTCCTCCCCGAGTTTCGATTAGTCAAAAACAACTTTCAGATATCTGTTCAGTTCTTCCTACTCCACGGTTGATTATGGGAGATTTTAATTCCCACGGTACAGGCTGGGGGGAACTGTATGATGACAACCGTTCTACTTTGATATATGACCTCTGTGATAACTTCAATATGACAATTCTTAACAATGGAGAAGTAACACGTCTGGCTGGTCCATCCTCAAATGGAAGTAGATTAGACCTCACACTTTGCTCTAATTCATTATCGTTGGATTGCACGTGGAATGTGATCCAAGATCCCCACGGTAGTGATCACTTGCCGATCAAAGTTTCAGTTACCAGTGGGTTCAATCCGTCGGAACCCGTTAACGTCGCGTACGACCTCACCCGTAATATCGATTGGACAACGTTCAAGACCGCGATAGATGAAGCCGTGTCGTCGGTAGAAGAGCTTCCACCGTTGGAGGAATATAACTTCCTCTCCAATCTGATCTTGGACAGCGCGCTTCGAGCTCAAACTCGGCCGGTTCCAGGAACGTCTTTTCGTAGGAAACCTCCTACCCCTTGGTGGGACCAGCAATGCACTGAGGTTTATCGTAAAAAGTCCGACGCGTTTAAGCTTTTCCGGAAACGCGGAACACCCGAGTATTTCGAAGCGTACTCGACTCTTGAACACGAACTCAAGAGCCTCATCAAAGCCAAGAAACGCGGATACTGGCGGCAATTCGTGGACGGTTTATCGCGCGAAACGTCGATGAATACGCTTTGGAACACGGCGCGAAGGATGCGTAACCGGTCTTCAAACAACGAGAGCGAGGAGTACTCGGATCGGTGGATTCTCAAGTTCGCGCGAAAAGTATGTCCTGATTCCGTGCCGGCACAGATGATTCCTCGCGAAACGACGAATTCGGTAGACGAGATCAGCCAGCCTTTTTCAATGCTGGAGCTCTCACTCGCGCTCCTTTCGTGTCGCAATTCGGCTCCGGGGGCTGATAGGATCAAGTTCGACTTGTTGAAGAACCTCCCAGACGTCGCTAAGAGGCGCATGTTGAACTTGTTTTGTCAGTTCCTGGAGTTCAATATTGTTCCAGATGATTGGAGGCGAGTGAGAGTTATAGCCATTAAAAAGCCTGGAAAACCCGCGTCAGATCATAACTCGTATCGTCCCATCGCGATGTTATCGTGCATTCGAAAATTGTTGGAGAAAATGATCCTTTTTCGCCTCGACAAATGGGTTGAGACGAACCACCTACTCTCAGATACTCAATTAGGTTTCCGTAGGGGTAAGGGAACGAACGACTGTCTCGCGTTGCTTTCCACAGAAATCCAGTTGGCTTTTGCTAAAAAAGAGCAAATGGCTTCTGTGTTCTTGGATATTAAGGGGGCTTTTGATTCAGTATCGGTTGAAGTCCTTTCAGACAAACTCCACGCTTGTGGCCTTTCCCCATTAATTAATAACTTTTTGTACAATTTGCTGTCAGAGAAACATATGAGCTTTTCTCATGGAAACTCTACAGCTTCTCGATTTAGTTACATGGGTCTCCCCCAGGGCTCATGTTTAAGCCCCCTTTTGTATAATTTCTACGTCAGAGAAATTGACAATTGTCTAAGTGACAACTGCACGTTGAGACAACTTGCAGATGACGGAGTAGTGTCAATGACAGGGCTCAAAGAGGTCGACCTGCAAGGACCCTTACAGGATACCTTAGATAATTTGTCTACTTGGGCTATCGAGCTAGGTATCGAATTCTCCTCGGAGAAAACTGAGTTGGTCGTTTTTTCTAGGAAGCATAGCCCAGCACAACCGAAGCTTCAACTTTTGGGTAAGCCGATCACTCAGTCCATGTCTTTCAAATATCTTGGGGTCTGGTTCGATTCCAAATGCACCTGGAGATCCCACATTGAGTATCTGAGACGAAAATGCCAACAAAGGATCAATTTTCTCCGAACAATTACCGGAACGTGGTGGGGAGCTCATCCGCAAGATCTTCTAACGTTGTACCGGACAACGATTTTAGCGGTTTTGGAGTACGGTAGTTTTTGCTTCCAGTCGGCGGCTAAAACTCACATCATCAAACTGGAACGTATCCAGTATCGTTGTGTTCGTATCGCGTTAGGATGCATGCACTCGACTCATACGATGAGTCTCGAAGTGTTGGCGGGCATGTTGCCACTATCGGATCGGTTTTCGGAATTGTCCCTCAGGCTCCTCACCCGTTGTGAAGTTATGAACCCACTGGTAATCGAAAACTTTGAGAAGCTTCTTGAGCTAAACCCTCAAACTCGTTTTATGTCATTGTACTACGTGTACATAACTCAGGATGTCAGCCCTTCACAGCATAATCCCCATCGTGTATGCTTCTCCGACTTCGGCAATTCAGTTAGTTTTGATTTATCTATGACGCGGGAGATTCGTGGAATCCCAGAACATCATCGTTCCATGATTGTTCCGTCAATTTACGCTGCAAAGTTTGGCCAAGTTGATTCCGCAAGATCGTTCTTCACAGATGGATCACTAATAGAGTCGTCCGCTGGTTTTGGTATTTTTAACGAATTTCATAGCGCCTCTCGAATGCTTCAAGCTCCTTGTTCCATATATGTTGCTGAACTGGCGGCAATATATTATACGCTAGAAACGATCGCCTCACTTGCACCAGATCATTATTTTATTTTTACGGATAGTCTCAGTTCTGTCGAGGCTATTCGCTCTATGAGGCCGGTAAAGCACTCCTCGTATTTTCTCATGAAAATACGAGAGCTTTTAAGTGCTTTATCTTTAAGATCTTTTGTCATCACCTTTGCATGGGTCCCATCTCATTGCTCGATTCCGGGCAATGAGATGGCTGACTCACTTGCTAAGGTGGGCGCTATGGAAGGCGATATTTGGGCTGGGAGACAGCAATCTCTGTGAATGTGGGCAAGGTTACCAAGACGCCGATCACATCCTTCGGTCTTGTGCTGAGCATCGTGGAGTCAGATCTGAGCTGTGCGATTCCCTTCAGGCTCGAGGTAGACAACCTAATGTTCCAGTTCGGGATATTTTGGCTAGACGTGACCTGGAGTTTATGAAACTCATATATGTTTACTTTAAGAATACTAACCTTAGATTGTAAGTTTGATTAACCTTGTGTTTAGTTTGTGTATTGTGCGTGTAGTTTTTTTTTAATGTTTGTTTTCAAGATGAATAGAAATAAGTTCATGTTTTAGGATTAATTAAATATTTGTATAATAAATCATATACCTCCTTCTCCCTTTCCCCACCCAAAAAATTGTAAATCTCCACTAACCTCGAGACGACCGCGAGTAATCGGTTCAATTCCTTTAACTCTAGATTTAAGACAATAATCATGTATAATGAAAATGATAACTCGGCTCTGTAAAGTTTATTCGATTGAGCCTGTACAAATAAATTAATATAAAAAAAAAAAAAAAAAAACAAATACCATAAACGAACTGTATCCCGGATGGGTAAACTATCCCACAAATGGTTTGGATGATACCCCGAACACGTCGTTAGCTCTCTTCTATGGTTATTTTTATTAGGGATGTCGTTTAATGTTGAGCACATAAATAACGAATTTTTTTACAAGTTTGCATACAACATTGCTGATGTATGCTATATTTTGCTTAAATTTACATGAAATATCGTATAGAATTACGCCAAATCTAGCGTTAAGGCGAAGTTTACCGCTTCGAAAAAAATTTCGATGTTTCTAAAAATATTGGAAAAACATATCAAAAATCTAAAACAATCTCATTTTTTTCTAAAGATAATTCACGTGTAAAAAATGTTTGTAAGTCATCATGGCATAAAGTTGGACTCAAAAAACCACAAAACATCGACTTTTCGGTTTTTTTGATAGTAATTTTTTTCATGATGAGATAGAAAACATATTTTTTTTTAAGAATATAAGGAAAAAACAGATTTTCTGGGATTTATAAACGTGCCAATTTTTTTTTTTTTTTATTATTTTCAGGTCGTCTACGTGTGCGCTATATATCGCAAAAATTTACATGAATTACGGTGTCAAAAAATACTGATTTCTGTAAAATAATCTAAGTGTGTACGATGCCAAGATCAAAAGGACCTCAGAATTTAGTGAACTAAAGTTCTATTTTTGTACTTTCATTGAGCAAATCAAGTTCCATTATGAGTTTTTGGTCTGTATTAGTTACCGCGTTACCCACTAAGTTCTACCGACCGCTTTTCACGGCAGGTTTTCAACCAGTCGGTCTGATTTTTTGCATATGAGTGGTGTGAATGGAGAAAATCAGAGCGATTGGTTAAAAACCCGCCAAGAAAACGTGGTGGGTAGAACTCTGTGGGTATCGCAATCATCTCAAAGTTCAAAAATTTTATCATAAGTTCTTATTGTATGATTTTTGTTAAATAAAACAGCAAAAAAGGTTATCTGCCATTTCCACTTATTTAATTTTGGTATCCACGACAGATACGTATTTCGACTACACACTGTGCAGTCTTCATCAGTGTCATTCCCACACAGAAAAAATCGAAATTTTAACCATCGCGTAATATCTCTTTTCGTTTAATTTTAAGCTTAAGTCGGCATAAACATCGAAATTGTTTACAAGCTTGTATGCAACACTGCTGGTGTATGCGAAATTGTGTTTAAATTTACACCAAATACCGTATAAGTTTACCCCAATAATGTGTGCACCTTATTACGCAGAATTACCCATGAGATGTCACAAGAATGTCAAAATCACAGGTGTAAAAATGAAACTACAATGTGTAGAATCGCAACCTACCTAAATAAAAAACCAAAGATTTAAGTAAAGCAAAGGAGAAAAATCTATACAACTCTCTAATAAGGAAAAATTCCCAATGGCTTGGTAGCCATCATTATGAAATTGGGTTGTCGGTTATGCTTAAATAAAACAGCAAGATAACCTTTCTTCCATTTAATTCCACTTAATTAATTTTGGTATCTACGACAGATACGTATTTCGACTAGTGTCATTCCCACTAAAGACTGTTTTCCAATGGAATTTACAGGTAAATCGGTCTATAAAATCTATTTAAGCCACAAGTGCTTCAATAAAGGAAAGAGTAATATTTACCCTAATAAGTATCAACAAGAAAATGTAATTTAAAACAAATGGTCCTGCCTTTAAATTTTATACCCAAAGGGTCCAATGTTTCTTTGACAGCTGTTGGCGTTCTTTACATTATTTTTTTCCTTGTTTTGAATAGCATTTGACCAACATTTTCATTAAAGCCGATGCACATGGATTAGAAAACGTGTTATCCATTGGTAAATCTATCCAAAGGAAAGGGTCCACAAATGGCAAATTTACCCTTATAATTACCGACAAGAAAATGTCATCCAGATAGCCTTGTAACAGGGATTAAAACCTAGCATGGATTGAGCCTGTCATATGACATTTTAGTTTGGTACTGTAATTTGATAGCTTGGTTTAGCAAGTGTCGGAAGCAAAGGCAGTCGATTATCACAGAAAATGAGTCGACTACGTTGACCGCTTACAAGACTGCTCCCTAGTCTAAACATAGCAAAAAGCCAGGCGTCCACTGATGTGGTAACATGCAACATGTCAATACATCATGTCGATGTCGTGTGGCGTGAAGCTAAAGTCGACATGATATTGTGTAAATGCCACACCTACCTACCTGATATACTCAATCGACAGTTATGATATTCACCCCTATACTGTATTTCGTTCGAAACGAAATTCCTATACAAAAAAAAAAATTTTTGTATGAGAATTTAGTTTCGAACGAAATACAGAATAGGGGTGATTACTTTGACAGTTCTTTGCTGGTTACCAGCAAATCACTCATGTTTCAGAGCGGAACTTGACGAAGAGAGGTTGGACGAGATGGACCAACTGTGGTCTTAGCCAGTCGAAAGACAACACAAAAAAAAGAGAGGTTGCATTGTGATAGGATGATTTGAAAAATCACTCTAGACTAACATACATTCTCATTCTCGATAAACTTTACGAAAGCTATTGAACTTTTTACATTTACATTTACATGGTCATTCTCTTTAAAATGCATCCATAAATCAATTAAATTCAATCAAAGAAAAAACTATATAGTACAACGTAATCCTTGCCCTTTTGGACCTTTTGTATTGTTCGGCTGACATTGTGATTAGAGGATAGAATAATCTATTGTTATCAATCAAATAGACATTGAATTGCGAAATTTATTTAATGAGAACCTGACATACATCACATATGACATTATTACTAACATTAAAATTAAATATACAACAAAATATCGATGTTTATTCTTTAAGAACTTCACAAACCTGGTTAATAGATCACAAGCTGGCAATGCTTACTTGAGTTGTTTATCTGTGACATGCACGGTAACTGAAAAAACCATAATAATGGTTAAAATATCACCCAGTTCTGAAAAAAACAGAGTTGCATGTCAACCTAGATGTCAACTCATTAAATGGGTAGCTACCTCGGTAGCTACAGTGTATCGCAAAATTGATCGTACAGCCACGCGTGAAAACTAACTATTTTAAATTGGCTCACTACTTGACTAGCCTATTGGTCCCAAGCAAATCGATTAACGTATTCAATTCTAGTCGAAATTCTAGTACTAAACTATGTTTGTTTTGATTCGCTAAGAAAGTTTGGTTGATTGATTGATTTATCTTTATTTAGGAGACTTTCACTGAAAGTTTAGCAAATAAAATGAGGGGTTCGTGGATTTTCCTATGTTTCGAGGGGTGCACCGATTAGCTTGGGACCGAAGAGAGTAACCAGCGAAAACACATCAATGAGTAAAAAATACACATTTTTTTATATTTATACGCAGCTGTCAAAAAATGTGTAAATTTGTAGATCCTAAAATGTGTGAAAAATACACATTTAAACAATGTAGTACCAGTCAAAAATTGTGTATTTTTATACTCATTAATGGGTTAATAAACTTCAAACTTTGCTGCATCCGAGGCTGCATCCTGCTTTGTTGACACACGCCATTTGCTGAATTTCCAGTGAAGAACAGCAGGAAAAATTGAGGAAGTACGGTCCAAACTGTTTACAAATGCAATTACACCCCTTTGAAATGTTGACACTGAATTTGAGAATTAAATCAAGGAATTAAACATTCAAAATTAGTAGAATTTAGTTAGCGTGAAAGATGGTAGAGGTGAAAGTAAAGAAGAGAGTATGAAAACAAAATATTACTTTGTGAGGGGAAATCCGAGAGGAAATCCCGACACAGCGGTCAGCGCTGGGTAAAGTAAGGGAAATTACGTAGGGTATTGTAGTAGATATAAGGGTTTTGGAATAAAATTATTAAAATTTGTTGGGCAGTTAATTATTCTTCTTGTGAGTTATTGTAGTAATAGATTGGTCTCCCCCTTTTTCCTTTTCGATGCGTGCATACCCCTCGCAGAACGCACAACAGAGAAAACGACATTCTATTGGTGGCTCTTTTAGAGAATGAACTACCAATAGTGAACAAACAGTAAAAAGCTGCAGCAGACCGTATATAAGAAACGAACAGCGGAAGCAACAGTCATTCGATTGACATATTTTGCAGCGAGCGACCACCTACGGAAAAGCAGTTTACTAACTACCAGCGAAGCGAGCCGAGAAGAGTCAGCACCGGCGTGGCGGACCAAGCCGTATCGCCACCATGTTGGGTTACAACAGGTATAAAAACGGCCAACCTAAGCTCGTTGGATCATTCTTGTGACGAATTTTAAAGGCAACGGACAAGCAGCAGCAGCAGCAGGAAAAGCAGCACAGGAACGCAGCAGCAGCAGTAACACAGTAGCAGCAGTCAGCAGAAGCAGCAGCAGTCGAAGCAGAACAGCCGAGATTCGTGTAGCCGTGACCGAGGCTGGAAACCTCGGTCCGGTCACGACACTATTGACCCACCAACTCATGAACCGGGGACCAATGGCTTCACTTCCCTTCCGAAGGAAGGCGCGATCAGAGATGTTATGCCTCAGAACATCCCGGCAGCGTCGACTGGGATTGAACCCAGGCCTACTGGGGTTACCACTACACCACCGGTGCCGCTACTTATTTTTGTTGATGGCATTTCTTTTTTTTTATAAAATATTATTGTATTCGAGCAATCTTTATTTTATCATTGACACAAATAAGAAAATCCCAAAGTTAATAAAAAAACCAAGCGCACCCATTATATTTAAGTTCTAGAAATGATTACCTTTTACACATTATTTGCTGTAAAAACCGTTCTTGAAAAATGTGTAAAAAATACACTTCAATTGACGTTTCCTGGGTTTACACAGGCCCCTTTTTTCACGAAATGTTTACGCTGGTTACCGTGTGTACCAGAGCTGAGCCAAAAAGTTGAGCACGTTTCTTCGAGACCTTCTGGTCTTATACCACGTTCAGACTACAGAGTTATAACATGTTATAACGGTTGTCAAATAATTGCAACACAGAAACCACCATCAAGATAGCGCTATAACATGTTATTATTCTGTAGTCTGGCCAGCGTTTCAGACCGGAAGGTCTCGAAGAAACGTGCTCAACTTTTTGGCTCAGCTCTGGTACACACGGTAACTCTAATAGTACGTTCAGACCAGGCATGGAAAATCATTTGCATTCATTTCGTGCATTCATTTACATTCATTTGCCTCTAACTTTTTTCTTCAACAAAAATCCTCAAAATGATGTATGGAACTTTTGTAGGTTTTGCTATTACCTACAACTTTTGTCAACAACTTAAGTCCTTATCTTTTATGCATGACGAACCAGAGCGAACAAAAGCCACTACTGATTTTCAGTGAATGTATTTTACATTCACTGAAAAACAGTAACAAGTTCTGCCCGCTCTAATTCGTGAGGCATAAGAGATACAGATTTGAGTTATGAGCAAAAGTTGTAGATAATAACAAAACCAACTAAAGCTCCAAACAACATTTTGCGGAATGCTGTTGATGAAAAAGTTAGAGGCAAATGAATGTAAATGAATGCATGAAATGAATGTAAATGATTTTCCATGCTTGGTTCAGACTACAGAGTTATAACATGTTATAGCGCTATCTTGGTGTTGGTTTCTGTGTTGCAATTATTTAACAACCGTTATAACATGTTATAACTCTCCAGTCTGGGCCGAGGGGGGCGACACATCTAAATCTCAAAATTAGATGCTCAACATATCTCACACTAGCGAATCAATCTTCGAAAAATATTTTTTCATTTGTCGCATCTACGTGCATCGCGCATCATCTTTTTGCAGGAAATCTTCAGAATCGTCATCAATCTTCTTTCTATCTACTCAGCGTGCACGCAGCTAGCCACAGCAAAATACAATCTTTTCTGCATCGTAGATAGAGTCGTCCCCCTCGGTCTGAGGGGTTAGTGGATTTTCCTATGTTTCGATGGGTGAATCGATTAGCTTGCGACCGAAGATAGTACCAGAGCTGAGCTAAAAAGTTGAGCACGTTTTTCGGGACCTACTAGTCTTAGAGTTACCTCTATGCTTATAGCACAAACGAAGTGACAGACGGAGCGGCTCGAAAACTTTGGTGACTAACCTGCTATTGCAATTTTTCAGTGTACCGCATGGCAACACCACTACTACTGGATTGTACCACACGGCAACACTACTAATGGATTGTACCACATGGCAACACTAAATTTACTAGAATGTTTTGGTTCTATCTCTTTCACTCTACTCTAAACTGAAATGCATAAAAAAATGACAAAATGATACGCACTCTTTGCACACTGTCAAAGAATCATTGTACACAAAATCAACTTTGTGCAAAACCAAAACAAAAATACTATCCCATCTGGTGGATGATGGCACAAGCTTCTAAGAAAATTCTATTACAGCGAACCACATTATTTTAATTGATTTCTTCGCCAGTTAGTCGTCTGTCACTTCGTTTGTGCTTATAGTACGTTATAACACAAACGAAGTGACAGACGACTAACTGGCGAAGAAATTAATTAAAATAATGTGGTTCGCTGCAATAGAATTTTCTTAGAAGCTTGTGCCATCAGCCACCATATGGGCTAGTATTTTTGTTTTGATTTGAACATAGTTGATTTTGTGTGCAATATGATCTTTGGCAGTGTGCAAAGAGTGTATCATTTTGTCATTTTTTTATGCATTTCAGTTTAGAGTAGAGTGTAAAAGATAGAACCAAAACATTCTAGTACATTTAGTGTTGCCATGTGGTACAATCCATTAGTAGTGTTGCCATGTGGTACAGTGTAAAATTGCAATAGCAGGTGCGTCACCAAAATTTTCCCTTCGTCTGTCACTTCGTTTGTGGTTATAACATGTTATAGAGCTATCTTGATGGTGGTTTCTTTGTTGCAATTAGTTGACAACCGTTATAACATGTTATAACTCTCCAGTCTCGACAGCATTTTAGGCTAAAAATCTCTAAAATAAAGATTTAAAAAAAAAATGTCAAACTTTCAAAGAGAATCGAAACAAACATTGTGTAGTACTAGAATTCCGATTAGAATGGGGTAACATGCTAATTAAGATGTGATTGTCAAATAGTTTGACTCAAGATATTACTATTAATTGGCTATCATATACTTCTTATTCTTATTCTTCTTTTAATAATATACATTTCAGAGGAAAAAAAAATCACAACGCAACTAACAACTTGCTAATTTTGCTCTGAATTGGCAATATTTCATCCGTCAATATCCCGCATGCGATGTGTCAATAATCAACACCAGGATGGCAACATATCGAATCCATCAGCCCATTAGCCGTACTTTCCTTGTACCTGAGATTTTTAACATCATAAAATCCCTACGGGCTTTAACCCAGATCCACTGGGATGAGAAGCAGTCACGGTTACTTCTCTATCATCCCCACCATAGGATGTATACTCCTACCCAATTTGAAATAGGTTCATTTAAAATCGAAGTGGGTGACTTTTTACCCAAAACTGAGTAGTTTTGAAGTAGCTGATGAGACTGACATTTCACACAAACAAAGCATAAATGTCAAGCAAAATAATCAGAAGAATAGTGATATCCAGTAATTTATTATTAAAAATATATCTCTTGGATAAAAATCAAACAAATTCAGTTTTATATGTCATGTTGTGCAAAAAGTAATAAATGCTATAAATAAATGGAGTGAATACTGTGCTATGGTATTGCTGATTATGTCGAATGCATAAATCTGCAAGAAAAAATGGATTTCATCGACAACTTACTAAATCATATGTCATCTAAGTTCAACCAAGAAAGTACATTACCAAAACAAGCAGAAATATCAATGGACGAAACATTCAAATGGCGTGCTTTAAAAAATAATCAATTTGCCAGCCGGTCAAAAAATGGTCGTTCAAAAATAAAATCCAAGGACAAAGACAAGAAGGATGCAGCTAGCAGCGAGTTGAATATGTCTTCTGATGAAAACAATAAAAGTGATAGCTCCCAAGATCCTATAATAGCAGACGTGAGTGAAAGCGCTGATATTGAAATTGAAATCGCTAACGATATCAGTGGAGCAGAAATTCAAGAAGTCCTTGCATCAACTCAAGGAAATGTTCCGGTATTGTTAGAGGAAACCAGTGCGCTCAAAGCAGTCAGCCTTAATGAAATAAATGAAACTATAAACATCGCAAACGATTCTGAGTTAATTGAGGGTTCAACGTGTACCTCAAACAGTGAGCACATAAATGATGAGGTTTTTGAGAAAGTAGTCCATAGTGAAAACGATGTAAGACCTATTCAGGATGATTTATCAGTTGAGAAAAAATATGCTGAAAATACTGAAATTGTAGATGGAAAACCTGAGCTTGCTCCCACAATTACGAAACATAATGATCCTGATGCAAAACATATTTTCATTCACATGTCGTCTACATTCAACGGGTCATGTCTAATCAAAAGTTCTTCTAATGATAATTTATTACAAATGCAAAATTCACCATCTGCCAATGAAGAAACATCATCATCCAATTTAAAAGCAACCGTAAAAAATGACAATGCAAGTGAGAATCATAAAGATCATCCTTCGCCTACCTCTGTGAGAAGGTCCAAACGATTGAAACATGATCAAACAAAAGATTCCGAATTGACCGATGTGGAGCATTTATCAAACCAACAAACGTCGACATTCGAACTGCCATCAATATCTTCTAAATCATCAAACGATATGAGCGATGAACAGATTAACATTAATGATACCGTGAAGATCCCTGGTGATAAAACAGATAACACAGTAAGAACCTTGCGAAACAAATCTTTTGGAATCAAACTGAATGAACCCGAAGCAAAAACTAAAACAACTGCAAAGAAAAAATATAAGAATGATCCAAAGGTGCAAGAATCGCCACGAAAAGTTGTTCATGTTAAGGAACTACATTCAGTTTCTCCAGAAACGAGAAAAGTAACCAGGAGTAAAACCGTTCTACGAAAAATTCCAACAACTCGAAGAACACAACACATTAGAAGCAATTACCCCACAAGGCAACGGAATCGTATTATGGATAAAAATGCTGAAAGAAGAAAGCGTTCGTCACGCTTTTGGAAAAACGCGAAAAATCAAACCAGTAAGTTGGGGAAAGAAAGCGAACAGAAACCAAAACATTCACAAGAAACCCAGAAAGAAACTGCCAAAACCAAAAATCCTAAGGAGCGCTCACCAAAACGATCAGTTCGACTATCTAAAGATGGAAGTGATGGTATATTGGCATCAGCAATTGCCAGGAGAGAAAAAAATGACATTACAGGGATCCAAGGTAGACTTTCGCGGCCCATCAAATTATCCGCAAAAATACTAGCCAATGACGAGCTACGATATGGGTTCGAACTCCAAAACAACGCCAGATTAAACCTAAACGTGGAAGTAAAGGATTCATCTAACACCAAAGAATTACTTAAATTTGATGTGGATTCTACTTCCGGGAAGACAGAAATATCCGAGGCGAAAATACCAATACCTATTAGTCAACCTGATAATACACTCGAACAACGAGATTCGTTCCCATCCGAACCATTAAGCAACGTTCAAATCAAATGTCCGGATCCATTGGAGTTTCTCAATGAAGTTAAAAGGAATAACTTAGGGAGCAATAAATCGCCAGAATGTAATAGCAAACTTACCAAGATACAACAGAAAAGATTGCTTAAACTAAAAGAAAAGCACCTCTTCATGCTCGGGCTTCAAAAAACTAACAACAACAAATCGCTTGCCGATACAAACAACCAATGTATCGAAACAATTAGTATAAATAAAGAAGATACGAAAGCATTAACACATTCGTCAAATACAATAATAAATACTTGTACGAATGCGAATGATGCTCAAATTAATGATGATATGAAAACTCAAACGGAAGCATCTACACATGCACTGCCTGCTACTCATTTGCAATCCAAAATGCTGTGTTTTTGTCAAAAGGATACCCGATATTTTACAACAAAAACACAAAGTCGCATGTATTGTACAGCAACGGACGACATTGACGGACAGATGATCGGGTGCTGCAACGAATTGAAAGGTGGTCTCCAGAATTTGCTACGCCCAAGCAATAGTGCCAGTTATCAGCTTTTGTGTCTGACACATCAGCGAAGACTACATCATCATGGATGCTGTGCTACTTGTGGAGTTTACTGTACACAGGTAATGATTTGAGTTAGAAAATTTGAAATGTTCACTCCACAGTGCTCAAACGGCTTCAAATCGGGTCCTGATCAGCCATTTGAAGTTTGTATGGAACTTACTTGATTACTAACTATTTATTCATTGTCTTCTAGCCTTTTTTCCATATTGCTCTGCTGAAACGTTCTATAACTATTCTTATTGGAAATTTTCTCAGCTTCATCTTTGCGGAAGATTATTTTTTAGCCAAACGTCGAATTAAATAGTTATTAATTATTTAAGAGATTAATAATCTTGTGGCATGATCAAGTAGCAGCAACACTGTAGCCACAATAGCCATGATTTTTGTGCTTTATCCTAAAGCCCTACAGTAAAAGTATGGACGTCTGTCAAAAGTTGTTCCAATCGAACTGTCAAAATGCACCACTTTACTCGATTGGAACAGCTTTTTTTCAGTTTTGTGGTGACAGTCGTCCATACTTTTACTAGAGGGCTTTACCAACAATCAATACGAAACTAACGATTTTAAATTGGCTCACCACTTTAGTAGCCTATTGGTCCCAAGCAAACGATTAACGTACCCTATTCTAGTTGAAATTCTATTACTACACTATGTTTGTTTTGATTCGCTATGAAAGTTTGACAGATAACATCAGGGGTGTGTGGATTCATGCAGAACATAAAGGGGTGAGTGAAATAGCTTGGGACTGCTTGGGACTCTAAGACTAGAAGGTCCCGAAATAACGTGCTCAACTTTTTGGCTCAGCTCTGGTACTCTCTTCGGTCCCAAGCTAATCGATTCACCCCTCGAAACATAGGAAAAACCAATAACCCCTCATTTTATCTGTCAAACTTTCATAGCGAATCAAAACAAACATTGCGTAGTACTAGAATTTCGACTAGAATAGGGTACGTTAATCGTTTGCTTAAGACCAATAGGCTACTAAAGTGGTGAGCCAATTTAAAATCGTTAGTTTCGTATTGATTGTTGATGCAGGGGTGAGTGAAATAGCTTGGGACTGCTTGGGACCGTTGTTCTGGTACTGAGTGAGCCAAAAATAATAATGATTTTCTTCGGGACCCAGTGGTCTTAGAGTTACCTCTATGTTATAACCCTCCAGTCTGGACAGCGTTCAAGACTAGTAGTAAAAACGTGCTCAACTTTTTGGCTCAGCTCTGGTACTATCTTCGTACCCAAGCTAATCGATGCACCCCCCTCGAAACATAGGAAAAACTTTCTTAGCGAATCAAAATAAACATTTTTTAGTACTAGAATTTCGACTAGAATGGGGTACGTTAATCGATTTACTTGGGACCAATAGGCTAGTCAAGTAGTGAGCAAATGGTACAGGCATCTCAAATAATAACTGTGGAAGTGCATCTAGAACACTAATGCCTTGTTCAGACTACAGAGTTATAACAACAATCAATACGAAACTAACGATTTTAAATTGGCTCACCACTTTAGTAGCCTATTGGTCCCAAGCAAACGATTAACGTACCCTATTCTAGTTGAAATTCTATTACTACACTATGTTTGTTTTGATTCGCTATGAAAGTTTGACAGATAACATCAGGGGTGTGAGGATTCATGCAGAACATGCAGGGGTGAGTGAAATAGCTTGGGACTGCTTGGGACCGTTGTTCTGGTACTGAGTGAGCCAAAAATAATAATGATTTTCTTCGGGACCCAGTGGTCTTAGAGTTACCTCTATGGTTTTAACATGTTATAGCGCTATATTCATGGTGGTTTCTGTGTTGTAATTATTTGACAACCGTTATAATATGTTATAACTCTCCAGTCTGGACAGCGTTTAAGTTGCAAGCACACAATAAGCTAATATGCAATATGCAATAACTTTAAAATTCGAAGAAGTAGAAGAAGAATTTTTGCCCACTATGGGCATTTTACTCCCATTTCTCATATTAACTCCTAATAACAATAGCAATAGTTTCATATATGATATCCCTTTTACTTTTTACCCCCTGCCTCAAAAATTAAATATTTTATTTTATTTTTTTTTTTGTTCACAGGGATATTTTATCATATGCTCCAATAAGCATCTGTTTCATCGGGAATGCGCAGAGAAGTTCATTATCAACACCAAAGGAAAATCTAGTCCAATTATTCCAAAGCTAGTATTGAAATGCCCTCATTGTGGATTGGAGAGTGTGATTCGCGAATACAAAATAAGATTGCAGAAGAGTCTATCTTTCGCAATAGTCACAACAAGGCACTAATGTAAGTATGAACATTGAAAACACCATCTTCATCTTTTTCTGCTCTTGGTTATTACTTATTCTGATTTATTTCTCCCAGTAATAGATCATTTTATAACGTATAAACGTCGCATAAGATTTCAACCAATTTTTTGTCAATCTTTTCTTGGTTCTTTTCAGGTACAACAGCTTTAACAGGAGGAATTTTTTAACAGAACTCTATATTGTTTTCGTTTAAATTACACCACACCGGTATCTTAACTGTGCCAAGCTTGCAAATGCTCATTACAGTTAAAATATTATTTTTCGGAATTATGAAATTTATATTATAACAATAATTTTAATATGTAAGATGCAAAAATAAAAGGTAAATTTTTGTCTGACACATGAAACCTGTCAATTTTGCCTTCAGAGGGTCACAATTGCCTTAATAGGGTCTCAATCGCTAATTGTGACCATCTGAAAGAGAAATTGACAGTCACAGCAAAAACTTCGTAAATTTACATGTGGCACAGTCATGTATTTTCTGGTCGAAGTTGAAACACACAGCAATAAATCATTAATTTCACATGGAAGTATTTAATAATACATTAATTTGCATTGAATTTCACATGCGTGTGTGCTTTTACATGTAAGTCACGAACGTATAAATTTCAGCTTCATTCATGGAGGTTAAGATCGTTAAACATGTAGTTTTAAATGTATGTTTTATGTTTAAAATTGACACAGTGTCATACATAAACTTTAACTCTTCTTCCTGCATCTTACATATTAAAATATAATAATTATATCCCATAGTTTCATAATTCCGAATAATCGTATTTTAGCTATGTAATGCATTGCAAGTATGCTTTAAACATTGAATTTAAATCAGATCTTGTTAAATTACCATACAATGAATCAAAAGAATCGATCATTCATAATAGTAAAGTTCATATACCGGTGTAGTGAAATGGATAAACGGAAATTATTATGTACTCGAAGCTTGGCTCGACAGCTTAGGCGATGACGAGCAAAACACTTGCAACGACACTCGCCGAGCATCTAGTTGTTCGAACATGGGCTTGGCGAAATCAATGAGCTCAGCCGCTAGCCCAACCTTCTGTCGATGCTTACCAAGTTCATAACAAGTTCATCTGACTGTGGGATGGTATGAGGAGATTAGGTCGTATGAATAAAAGCATTTACTTTACTTTTCCCGTAAGAAAAGCACGGGAAAGTAAAGTCAACTCTTTTTATTCATACACATTTTTTTGCCGAGATGGGCACCACCGAGCAGCTCGGCATTTTATTTTGCTGAATATCAGTGAAAAACTTGGGGAGATTCAGCAAATATTTTATTTGTTAGCTGAGATGTCGGAAAAAATCCCGTTTGTTAGCTGAATCTCGGCAAGTTTTTAACTGAGATCCAGCAAAACAAAATACCGAGCTGCTCGGTGGTGCCCATCTTGGCAAAAAAATCTAAGTGTGTACGGCCCATTGTTCAGAGGTTAATTTAAATGCCGCGATACAATTTATATTTAATATATTGATATTCTATGACACAAATAAAAAAAATATCTCAAGTGAAAATCAAATTAACAAACATACCATTAATTAAAATAATCAACAAAGAATTCCATTTTCAGCTTCAGCTAATAAATCTTTAAAATAATCAGCGAATAAATCAGTTGTTCAGTAACCGCAATTGGGATATTATTCACGATTTTGTCCATTTACTGAAAACTTAACCCTTCGTCTGCGCGAAAAAAAAAACTGCATTGGGGTCAATTTGTGTGTGTGTGTGTGTGTTTTTTTTTCATAGCAAGGTTTAGGAAAGCTTCAAGAAGCCTGGCCTGTAGTGAAGTTGGCACGGTGTAATATCCACTAGTTGCCTAGTGCAGCTGCACTAAAACCCATTCCTTACTCTCTCCTCTGCGTGGATCCCCCCGGGACCACTGTGAAGCGACTACTTCGGGGTGGCTGTGCTCATGCACTTGTCATACGCTCAGCGCTACTGTGTTACCTGACTTATAACAAATATACGTTGTATACGAGTACCCCGAATACAACGTATAGTTCGTCTAATTTTACATTGCAAATGCTATGCAAAATTAGACGAGTCATATGTTAACATATTCGGGGTACTTGTATATAACGTACACGGACAGAAAATTGTTTGCATTGAACCAAAAAAAACTTTATTTGTATATACACAAACAATTCCGGTTGAAATTATATTGCATTTTATTGTTTCGATAATATTTATTCAAATAAATTCAAAATAAGATTCTTTTTGTTTTCATAAGCCACTCTTCAACTGCAACTATTGTAAAAATAACAATATTCTTTTATCAAGCCAACAATAGTTAATTTTAATTTAACATTTATTTGTTGTGTCAATTTCCCATGAATGCAAAAATAACTACCAACCATTCCCTCGTGAAAACCCGGACAAAAATGTAAACAATAACAAAAAAAATTCTCGTTTGATTCAGCTCTAGAGGTAAGTAAGTATACTTCTGCCCTACCTATCGACCCATCGACTCATGAACCGGAGAGATTTTATGCCTCAGAAAGTTTTTTTTTAAATTTAATTGTATTTCTGTTGGTAACAAATAGAAAACAAAACAAAAATAATCGCAAATTATTAAAAATTGAATCAATAAATATATTTTAGTTTCCACTGCGTATATTTTTAGGCTTAATAAAATAAATATGATTGAATCAACAAGAAATCTCTTTTAAAAACAAACATATTTTTTTGTTGACCCAGCTGCCAAATTTGAAAGCTTACGTCAAAACCATAAAAGCTCTTGTTAATTCGAAAAGATTTTCTTTTTGATTTAACAATCCATGGGTTTTTAAAAACAAAGATACTGGATTGTTGAAATAATAATGATTTCATTTTGCAGCCAAAACAAAATGAAATTCTTATTAAATTTACGTCAAATATTATTACGTTTAAAATATTTTTTTCTGCGTGTATATTCGTTATAAGTCAGGTAACACAGTAGCTGGCATTGCTAGATCGCTGCTCTTCTCTCCATTTTTGCTGCAGCTCCGACATTATCTGCGTGACTACCCTGCTGACGGCATTCCAAGTGCCATCCTCTCGACACATTTCAACGACGACATTCTCCACGTTAAGGACGGGCATCTCCGTTCGCACTGCCTCGAACCTTGGACAGTCGAAGACCATATGCTCCGGCGTTACATCGACGTTGCCACACTCCGAAAAGAGGGGTGACGCTGCGTGTCCGAACCGATGCAGGTATTTCCTGAAGCAGCCGTGACCAGACAGGAACTGCGTTAGGTGGAAGTTGACTTCTCCGTGTTTCCTGTTCACCCAGGTCGAAAGAATCGGTATTAGTCAATGTGTCCATCTACCGTTCTCCATCGTGTTCCACTCCTGTTGCCACTTAGCCAATGACTCCACTCTCACAACTTTCCGTACTCTTCTGGCTTCTCTCCGCCTGTAGCACTCGCTGTCGGCATCACTCCGCCAGGGTGATGCCGATAGGGATCATACCGGCGATAACGCATACTGCTTCCGACGAGATGGTTCTGTATGCACTCACGACTCGCATGGCCATGAGCCGGAACGTACTACTCAGTTTCCTTTGGTTCTGCTTCGTTTTCAGTGCTGCAACCCTGGCTGGACCTCCATACCTCAGTATCGATGACGACACTCTGGCCAGAAGACGCCTCTTGCTACTGCTGGGACCAGCGTTGTTCGGCATGATTCTAGCTATCGCGTTGATGGCCTTCGAAGCCTTCTCACAGGCATATTCGACGTGGCTGTTGAAGTTTAGCCGGTCATCGATCATTACTCCCAGGTATTTCAACACACGATTCGAGGCTATGGCGTGCTCCCCGGCGGTGATTTCTGCCCGCTGTACCGCTTTACAGTTACTGACCAGTAGCATTTCCGTTTTGTGGTGGGATATCTGCAGCTTCGCTCCTTGCATACAGTTGGAAACCGTGTCGATCGCCTCGGTTGTCAGCATTTCCACCTCTTCCAACGTCTCGCCTACTGCCGCCAACACGACGTCGTCCGCAAATCCTACGATATCGACTCCTCTGGGCAGCTTCAGCGTTAGCACGCCGTTGTACATCGCGTTCCAGAGCGTTGGGCCAATTATGGACCCTTGTGGCACACCCGCCGTGATCCGGATTGATTTCTCTCCCATGTCCGTCTCGTAGACTAGAACCCGGTTCTGGAAGTAACTCCTTATAATGCTACACAGGTAATCAGGAACCCTCATTTCTTCGAGGGGGACGACTCTATCTTCGATGCAGAAACGATTTTGTTTTGCTGTGCTTAGCTGCACGTACGATGAGTAGATTTTAAGAAGATTGATGAAGATTTTGAAGATTTCCTGCAAAAAGATGCGAGTATATGGATTTAGATGCTTAAAATGGCAAGAAGATTTTTCGTAGATTTATTCGCTGGCGTGAGATTTTTCGAGCATCTATGATTGAGATTTAGATGTGTCGCCCCCCTCGCATTTCATGCAGTGCTTTGGCGATGGCCTCCCAGCTGGCGCTGTTGAATGCGTTCTTCACGTCGATCGTTATCAAGGCTCAATATCGATCTCCTCTCCGCTTCTGTTTAGACGCTTTCTCGGCACTCTCGACCACTGTCCGAATTGCATCCACCGTTGATCTCCCTTTCCGAAATCCGAACTGCATCACCGACAATCCATGCACACTCTCCGTGCATTTCGTTAGCCTGTTGAGGATGATCTTCTCCAATAGCTTTCTGACTGTATCCAGCAAGCATATAGGCCTATACGATGCTGGATCCCCCGGCGGTTTTCCGGGTTTCAGCAGCAGCACTAGCTTCTGTATCTTCCATCGGTCCGGGAAGTGACCTTCATCCAGACACTTCTGCAGCACTATCCTGAACATGTCCGGGAGCGCCTGGATCGCCGCCTTCAACGCCACGTTGGGGATTCCATCCGGACCGGGAGCTTTCTTCGTCTTCAGCCCTTTCGCCACTGCTACGAGTTCCTCGTTGGAGACTTGTCTACCTTCAGTGTTGTCTGCATCTGCCGGTGTAGGTGGCCAGGTCATTTGGTCGTGCTTCGGGAAAAGTCCCTCCACGATGACTTTCAGCTTGTCTGGGCACATTTCAACGGGCGTCGTTGGACCTCTAATCTTCGCCATCGCGACTCGGAATGCGTCACCCAGGGGTTGGCATCAGCGTCTCGGCACAGCTCCTTGAAGCAGTTTGACTTGCTCAGCTTTATCTCCCGTTTTAGAGCGGCCATGGCTGCTCGAAACACCACAAGTGCCTCGTTCCACCAGTAAGCTTAGCGCCGTCTGTTCCTTGGCTCCGATTTCCTCGGCATGGAGAGCTTCTACAAAGAGATCCTTGTCAAATGCCTTCTTATTTCACCTCCGCTTGCTTACTTTCGTTTTCCACATTGCCGTAGGTATCCGTTGGCCAAAGCTGTACCTAATCGCCTGATGGTCACTATGAGTGTACTCCTCACACACTCTTTAGTTTATACTTGCCACTAACGACGGACTGCAGAAAGTGACGTCAATAATGGATTCCCTACCATCTTTGCGGAAGGTGCTGATGGTTCCTTCGTTGGCCAGACTGACGTTCAACTTTGCCAGAGCTTCCAGCAGGCTATACCCTCTTGCGTTGGTACATCTGCTCCCCCAATCCACTGCCCAAGCATTGAAGTCTCCTGCGATGACGACTGGTCTTCGTCCAATGAGCTCTTCGGTGAGCCCATCTAGCATCTGGTGGAACTGCTCAATTGTCCATCTCGGGGGTGCGTAGCAACTACATACATAGATTCCATTGATTTTGGCGATCACGAAACCTTAATATGAGCTTGCCACCACTTGTTGTATGGGATACCTGCCCATGACTTGTATGGCCGCCATTCCTGCTCTATCCGCCACCCAGTTACCATTATCGAGAGGGACTCGGTATGGCTCTGCAATGATTGCAACGTCGCACTTTGTTTCCGTTGTTGACTGCCACAACAGTTGCTGTGCTGTGTTACAATGATTGAGATTTATTTGGGTTACCTTCATTATTGCTGGCCCACCATCGCCTTCTTGAACTCAGGGCACCTGAAACTTCCCGTCACATGGCCATTTCCGTCCTCCTTTTTGCAGAGCATGCACCTCGGTTGCTTTGTACAGTCTTTTGCAACGTGCCCCCCCCGAAAAAAAATAACAACAAAAATACATTAAAAAACAATGTAACAATAAGACGAAAATTATTGTCTTAACAATGATTTATATTGTTACGTCTACAATAAATTTACCTTGATTTATGTTGTACAAAACAGTAAATTTCATGGTAAATGGAAAATTTACAATAAAAAAGGGGGGTTGTTAAGTATCTTAACAATGAAATTTTCGTGATTTTCCCATATAATTTTTTTTCAATAACATTATATATTATTGTTATTTTACTGTTGGTTGGCGAATTTATTGATTAAAAAAAATAACTGTACTTTAGAGTGTATGTGTTGGCTTGACAGATCTACTTTATCGACT